ATGCCAAGTTCTCAATCAATGTGATTGCATCTGCTGAAATCCTGGTGTTGAAGTTCCCATTGCTAGCAGCATCTAGAGCCATCTGGTACCTCCAATCAACGCCCCTGAAGAAAATGCCAAGTAGCTGCACATGATTGAAACCATGGTGTGGACAGTCTCTCTGATATGACATGAATCTCAACCAAACAGCCTTGAAAGCTTCAGCTGGTCCTTGAGAAAAGGAGGCAATTTTCGTTCTGAACTCTTCAGACCTTGCATCATCATAGAAATTATTGAGAAATGTGTTCTTGGTGTCCTCCCAAGTAGTCAAAGAGCCAGGCTCTAGTTGTTTCAGCCAATAGGCTGCATCTCCTCCAAGAGAATAAGGAAACAGCTTGCAGAACAGGAAGTCATTGCTAACTCCATTAGCCTATTCCAAATCTTATATTTGCAATTTCCCTATCGAATTTGTTGTTAGCATAGCAGATCAAGAGTGACGTGTATGAGAAGCAAGAGTGTTAGGATAGTTTCATCCTCTGTGATTTAGGATAAGAAAAGTTTCCATTGGGATTTTTGAGTTGGAAAGTTTTGGTAAGGAAGATTTCAAACTTTTCAAATCAAGAAACCAAAGACGTTTATTACAAAACCATAAAATAGAAAATTACATTTAGAGAACACACACATACATACATATGCTTCACAAGCACTCAAGGAGAGGATGGTGTTCATTTGGGATCTATAAAGGCTCTTTGTCTCGAGGGAACTTTTATACAAACCATTTGTGTTTGTGCGAAGAGAAGAAGATATGTCCGATGACCAATCCGCAGAACACGCCAAGTGCATAAGCTATAGCCGCTGCTATCCAACTAATCACTTGTTGTTCTTCTGACTCCGACAAATCTTCGGACTCTGGTGCCTGGTGGTGTAGGATTCGGAACATTAGTTTGTCTACATACATCTTCAAGACCGTAGAGTCTGGGGTTGTCCATAAATACTGAACAGTTTTGTCTTTGAAACTGCATGCCTCGTGGTATTGGACCTTCAAGGTTGTTATAGGAGAAGTTCATGATTGACAAAAAGGAGAGGCTGCCAAGATCTGGAGGAATCTTACCAGTGAGCTGATTCTGGGATAGGTCTAGTGCCTCGAGATTTGTCAGATTTGCCAATGATTGGGGTATATTGCTTGTAAATGCGTTATCTGACAAGTTGAGAAGACGCAATCTCTTCAACAATCCAATGGATTTCGGGATCTTCCCACACAAATTGTTTCCAGAGAAATCAATAGCTTTGAAGTCTTTTCGAATGCGCTCAAAATTCATATCGACTCATTTATCTACCATTTCCATCGTTATCATTTTCATCGCCCCAAGACCATAGGAGATCTCTTCATAATAGTTTATATATCCCATGTACGTGCCACCAACATCTTCGGTTGATGTGGTCATCATTCCACGCCATTTGAAAAAATAGAAAGGTGGCAAAGTTCCAGAGAAGACATTTTGTGATATATCGATGACTTTAAGACTTTCAAACCCAATGGAGGAGACATGTGGCTGATACAACGGCCCCTGGAATTCGTTGGAACGTAGGATCATGACTTGTAAGTACGTCAGAGAACCTAGCCAAGATGGAAACTTGTCCTTGATTATGTTTCTTCCAACATTCAAAAACTTCAAAGAAATGCAGTTGATCAATGATTCCAGAAGTTTTCCCTCCAACTAGTTGCCGTTAACGTCAAAGTGCATTAAGCGGGTATTATGGACAAACATATCTGGAAGAAGAATTCCACTGAGATTGTTCTTTTGCAGATTTAGCGCTCTGAGACGATGTCCAATGGTGATCCTGAAACATTGATGGATGGAGACGCTGAAGCTATTGTTGGACAAATCTAAGAGCTCTAAATGTCTAAGCTTGCAGATCCAATGGGGTAATGGTCCACAAAAAGAATTTGAACTGAGCTCCAACTTCCACGTTTGTGTTATATCGGAAACTTGGAATGATTTTTCAAAACCGCTGAAGGAGTTGTGAGAAAGCATTAAGAACGACACGCCACCTAACCAAACTGGTATTTCGCCTTCCAACTTATTGTTGGAAAGACCAAGAAATCTGAGTTTGGTTAAATTTGATAAAGATCTAGGGATTGGTCCATTGAAATTGTTGTAGCTAAGATCTAAAATCAAAAGGTTTAGAAACTTTGATATGGATTTGGGGATAGGGCCATCGAATTTGTTTTGACCAAGATCTAGTCTCTGAAGCTTAAAAGGGAAGATGATGTATTCCTAAATTTTATAGGTCCCTCGAACTGGTTTCCCACCATTTTAACAATTCTGAACGAAGGAATCATGAACAAAGATGTAGGAAAAGGCCCTGAAAATGAGTTTCCACTCACATTCAAATATTCCAAGTTGTGGAATCGACTCATGTCAGGCAGAAGCATAGATTTAAATATGGAGTTAGGGATATGGCCATCAAAATTGTTTAGAGCAAGATCTAGCCTCTCAAGCTTAGAGGAGTGAAATGACGTATTCCTAAATTTTATAGGTCCATTGAACTGGTTTAGCCCCAAATTAACAATTCTTAACGACGGAATCGTGAACAAACATGTAGGAAAAAGCCCGAAAAATGAGTTTTCAGTCACATCAAAATACTCCAAGCTGTGGAATCGACTCATGTCAGACGGAAGGATGGAATTAAATAGATTATTGCTAATGTCTAAGCCGGATAAAGTGGTTAGGTTTAGAAGAACAAGAGGGAAATTTTCACCACTTAATTGATTAAATGAGATGTCTAAATTGGAAAGTTTGGTAAGGTTGGCAAATGAAACAGGAATATTTCCACTAACTTTGTTACTGCTAAGATCTAGGTGTCTTAATTGGGTTAGAAATCCGATTGAAGCCGAAACTTCACCTACTAAATGATTACCTCAAAGTTCAAGATGTGTGAGATGAGAAAGGTTTTCTAACGAAGAAGGAATCTCTCCATATAGATTGTAATCTACAAGAGATAGGGTATGAAGATGCTGGAGTTTGAAAAGACCATTGTTTGGTGTCAAAGAGTTGTTGAGTGGGATGTAATGAAGATCAAGTGAAATCACTTGACCAGATTTTACATGGCACGTCACACCCTCCCAAGAACAGCAATCACTACTCTTGTTCCAAGAACTTAAAGATCTGGATTCAGATTCATTTACCGAAAACTAGTGTTTGAACTCCAAAAGAGCATTTCTCTGGTCATGAAGGCAATAGCCGAGAAGCATAGAAAAGGCAAGAGTGTATACAACGAGTGACACCAAGAAAAATAAATAAAACTCGCTTGAAATCATCATTAAGCTTTTTTTTTCTCTCTCTCTTTCTTTTGCGTTTGTGTGGAAGTGATATGATTATGGCGTATGCAGCTCTTTTAAATAAGGAAAATAAAAACTCAATATCTCTTGACTTTGGCAAGTCTTGACTCTTGCGTCAAGTCTTCGCGCTTTTCTTCCAATCCTTTCTAGCATTTTATTGACTCGAGTCGTCGGATTCCGTTGACTGATTGGCTCTAACCACAAAGATTTCAAATTTTCCACTTGCTTCAATTTTTTTGTTTTTGTTTTTTCTTCTTCGAAAGAATATTCCTCTGATCATTCGAAATTTCCCTGCAAGAACGCGGTTGAATATAGAGAGCTGCAGGGAGCTTATCAACTCGAGTACGTCCATGCAAACTATAATGGCTCTCGAAGAAGTAAACCTTGAAATGAATCTATAGTAAAAAAAAACTGTTACATAGCTTTTTCGTTCTTATCTAATGTTTTTGAACCTTTGCTTTGCGGGTGAATGTGGAAGTTTTCACACCTATGCTATGGCCATAAAAGTCAAGCAATGACCCTCAAAATGGTCTGAAATTATTTTTACATCATTTTCCTTAGATTACCTTCAACACAGCAAGATCATTACCGTCCTGAAAAATATTTTCAGCATCATTTTCCATAGATTCTTCCGTCCTAAATAATACTCTTGCATCATAATTCACGAAAGTAATAAATAAACCCAGCTATATATATATATATATATATATTTTTTTCAAATTTGTAACACGATTTCCAGATCATCTATCTACTACTATTATTTCTCAGAATTTTTTTTTGTTTTTCTGTTATGATCGTACAAAGTTATATATAAATGGGGAGACCCAACCAATCAAATTATGTGTTTATAAATAAACATCTGTATATGTACTCAAACAAACACGTACGTATTTGAAATCTGGTCAAGTATTATATTTTTCTCTATAACATCACAAAAGTAGACTTATATGATATGATATAGTTCTATTATATTCATTGTTCTATTATATTCATAATGAGTTTAGTTTTTTGTTGAACACAGTATACTTACATAGTTACATTTAATCTATTCGACAAACAAGGCTCGTTGCCTCGTTCGGAATTCACGTCATACTTGTACTTGCATGCACATAGTTTCTGAAAGTATAGGAAAATTGCGTAAACTATATAAATAATAATAGGTCCACTCTAGGAGACTAGGACTCGTTGGCCCCAGGCCAGGACCCGTTATGATTTTCATCCGGTTTGGTATAATTAAACTTCTTCTCGTGATATCTTAAACCGAACTCTGTATCATTTCGGTTCGACGTTGTACGATGTAAAGAAGAATTGAAATGCAGCCACCACAAAATAGCCGCTTTCTTCATGAAATTACTAAGAAAATATATCTAACATATAATGGAAAACTGTTTTTTGGGCTATAAAGTTATAAACTTCCTAATAGCTCATCAATTCCGATCAATTTTTGCCTACAAACTTCCAAGTTGATCAGAAGTAAGAATAGAGTTCCAAATGGAAGAGAGATCAATGGAGATAAACCAAAAGACTTCTATTTTAAAGTAAAGCAGAGATTCATCAGGATGAAGAAGATGATAAACAATTAATTATCAGATTGCAGAAGAAACAAATTCACTACAGGAAGAATAAGAAACCTTTTAAGACTATTGAGATCATGAAGATGATTCAAAGACTATGGTTGTTCGTAGCAAAAAAAATCCTAAAGAAAACACCAAAAACCTTGAATAACTTGATGATGAGAAGTAAATCGACAAGATTAGCTGCAGAACAGAACCGGGTTTCCATCTCATAGAGTTAAACAAAAGCTTGATACTTACAATGACACCATTGGTTAGAGATTAACAATTATCGAGCCAAAAGATCGCTATACCGAGGTGATAAAGACCGAGACAGAGGAAAAGCACGAGAAAACGAATTACAATGTAAGCTCACCATTTAGAGACAGAGAGAAGAAAAGTTCCCAAACTGTTTCAAGTGGACATAATAAAAGCTTGGAACAAGTCCTCTGCACTACGCATCTGTTCACGTGTGCCGGATATGAGAGCAATGCGATCACCATTTGAAGTTTTCGAATCAGAAAATTCTACCAGAGCTCCTGATATCTGAAGGAGAAAGAGTGAGGTAATTGCCAAATGAACAACAGGAGAGAAAGAGAAAACCGAAATAACGATCGCAAATATTTTAGAAACAAACCCTTCTTATGTTCTCCAAATTGCCTCCTCCTTTGCCCATAACTTTACTCACTGCATCCTCCGGGACAAGAATCTCCAAGGCAGAAGATGGATGCAATCTATTAATCAAGAAAGAACATTTACAGAGAAAAAGAGTTTAGATCATATGAAAAAAAAGCGAACTTCAACTTCGTAGTTTGCAAGCTTACCTTTCAAATGAGTATGAACCGACTGATCCAAAACCATTATCTTCTCCCTGTTTATAGAAGAAAAAAAACAAGTCATGACTCATGAGTATATGACATTTGCCCCCAAGAGAATCAGAGGATTTCAACATGTGACCTTACCGGGAAACTTCCATAACCGTAGAATCTGCCTGAAGAAACCATCCCCAAGCTGTTTCCCTCTGTTTCTCGTCTCTGATCAAAACTGACTCGAGGAAATTCTGGAGCAGAAGATATGAAAGACGGATGTGTGAAACCGGGATTACTACTACCGGAGAAGAAACTATTATCATCAGATCTTGCAGGAGGATTCCTAGCAGCGACGGCACTGCCTCTATCGCCTAAAACATCCTCTCGAAGTCTTAGAACAATCTGAATGAGAGCATCTCTCACACTGCTGACTTCACCCGATACCTAATGGGTTATAAAGAAATGATTCTCAAACTGAATATAAAAAGCCACAGAAGGAAAAAAAGATTTGAACTTTTGATAAAAGGATAATAACCTCAACAAGATCATCTTTACTCCCTTTCGTGATACGGATATTGGCATTGGTCCTTTTCCTAATTTCGGTTATGACCGAGCCATTTTTCCCTATAACGCATCCAAGAGCCTTGGAAGGAACAAGAAGTTGCATCTTAACGTTTTCCTCATCCTCATCATTGATCTTCTCTTGCAGAAGAAGGACAGCTTCAACGGCCATAGACTTCATATCATCAGGAGACTGAAAGAACAAACACAGAAAATGAGTATTCAAACGACAGAAATGATAGATATTCATAGAAGAAGTATACAAGTGGAATCAAACCTCTGTAGCAGTGACAATGATAACACACTCATCATCACCACGCTTTGCCCTATTAACATCAATACGAGAACCGCTTGCTTCTCTCATTTTCTTAACAGTTGCACCGTCTCTCCCGATAACACGACCGATATTGGACAAAGGGCACAACACTTTTAAGACCAACTCTTCTGATCTGGAAGACCCTCCAAAGCCACGAGACACGGGAAGAGCAGAGGCAAAAACACCGGCCCCGTGATGAAGAAGATTAGGATCATAACTTGTGTATAATCCAGCTTGAGGATAGACAGAATTAGAAAGATCCAATGGCATTACAACACTAGCTGGAACTTCTTGAACGGTTGACTCTAGAGGAATCTGTTCCCGAGGATTGGTTTTGTACATGATCGCAGAAACAGCGAAAAGAGCTTTCTTCACAGATTCAGCCTCACCGGATATCTACTCAGATAGAAAGGACATCAATAAAGCTATCAAAAGAAAACGGACAAGATATGCTTTTATAGAGTCAGATGCTAACCAGAAGTATATTGTCAAATTCCATGGCACAAGCGTGTGAAGGATCCGAAACATCTCTTGAGACAACCTTAACACTAGCTCGAGTACTACTTCGTATCTTCTTAATGTTCGAACCAGCTTTACCTATCACACTAGAAGATTGGCTAGACGGAACTAGAAGGCGGCACTCCTTCTTATCATCTCTACCTATCTTAGTGTTCTTCTCTACAGAACTATCTACACAGCTCACAATTGCATCATGGACTCTAAGAAGAGCATCTTGTGCAACACACAGTGGCTCGGTCTCGGTCTCAGTCTCACTCTTTGTTATGTCGAGATTCTTCTCTGTAACCGAGCAATAGATTGTTATGACTCTCTCGCTGCAACCAGGCAACTGATCAAAAACCTTGATCTTTGCCTTCGTGGTATGCCTAATCTCGTTTATGACTTTACCACTCTTGCCAATAACACCTCCAACGACTCCGTTAGGACACAGGATTCTGTAGATTACGAGCTCGTCTTTACTGATCTTTTCATCATTGTTGTTATTCGAAATTCGCCTCTTTTGACTCCTCTTGTCGTCGTTGTTGTTTCTTTGGTTAGGTTTACGTTTCTTCCGCTCAACCATTGTAAGTGTACCTGGGAAAAACAGATTTGAGATCAAATAAGCACGGAAAGTATCAAACTTTTGCTAATAAGAACAATCTATCAGAACTAGAAAAGTCGATTTCAAAACCTTTATAAGAGGGGCAAAAGAAAAAGACTAAACAAGTCTGAAATTGGGTGAAGCTAGAGAAAATCGAAGTGGCAATGTGTTCAATTTTGAAGCTCAAACCAATTTTGAAATTCGATAAAAGGAATCAAGACCTACGGAATTATAAGGAGCCGGTAGAGATATTGGCACAGAGAATTCTCGGAGGTGAAGAGAACCGCTTTGTAACGATATTGGGATCGGTCGGAGAAAACCTTTCGGAAGATGACGTAAGAGAAGATACGGCGGCGGATAAGTTAGATTCTTTTATGAGTTCGGGTCGAGTCACTAAGACCAACCTTAATTTTTTTTTTATCTCGTAATTCGTCCCATTATTTTACAATAAAACCCAATTTCGTGCCAAAAAAAAACGAAGACTATACAGTGACATAATGAGCTTGATTGGTAACAGCTGTAGTTTTATATTTTTGCTGTAAAAATATGGTTGTAATTTTTTTTACTGTAGCTGTAGATTTTATTTCTTTAAAATTTTGACTGTAAAATTATAAAATTTGAAAAACATAAATTTATGTGTTTTAAAAAATAATGTTTTGTACAGTCAAAAAAATAAAAAAGGAAATATTTTAGTTGTGAGCAAATAAAGAAAAAACAGAGTTTATAAATCATGATTGATATAATTTAGAACTTTAAACATAAATATTGCTTTGTACAGCATATACAGCAACAACCAATCAAGCCTAATATATATGTATCAGTGAATGTAATGTATACAAGTAAGAACTTCGTGTAAACGTTGTAACTGATGACACATACTCTCTGTGTATGTATACAAGCGTCAGAAGTTCATGTAATTCATGTTTCAATGTTTGATATATAGAGAGAATCGACCTTGAACGATTGTGAAGGAAATTTTTGTTGTTATTAGTTTATTGTGTTTTTCTTTTATGCTAACACCTTGTGGAAAGACATAATGGAGTTTGTGCAGCTAACTTTTTACTTTTCACATGAAGATGAGCTCATTTTCATGCTTACTATTTACTATTCTTGGTCTTTTGGCTCATTGTAATAGAAACAGTTTCTCAACGGCATTTTTGTGATAAATACCACATTTGATTGATTTTTAGTATATAGTTTCTGCTGTGTTGACCACCTGACGTAAATTAACATCAAAAGCTAAACATGGTAAAAAGGAACAATTTTTACAAAGCCACATTTTACATTCGTAAACGAAGTTAAATGGGCTGGTCCATTTAAGATTTTATCTAAGAAGATTTTCCATTCCCAAACAGCGTCGTTTGTGGTCGACAAAACCGACGTCGTTTGGAGGGATTTCACCCGACCTACGGACGGACTGCAACTGATTTCACGCGAAGATCTATTTCGTCTTCTCCGACAAATCGACACCGTCGATTTAAATCCTAGGATTTCTCCAGCCCTCGTGTGTGAAGCTCAGAAGACTACTACTCCGACTACTACGTACAGCATCTTTTCTTGCTCTGTTACTTGTTGGATTTGGTTTTACTTCCTTTGTTCTGGCATCTGGGTATCTTCTGGGCTTGATTCGTGTTTGTTGATGGATTTTTGTAGTCTTTATGAACTGATTTCGTGTTGATGATTGACTGGTGTGGCCGTGGGGGGAAATTAGAAGTAGGGTGGCTCGAATTTGTAATTTTCTTTTTATGATTAGCTCTTCTTGTATGTAGATTGTCTTCGTTTGTTGATGTTCGTATCTAGGCTATGATCAGATTCGTATCTTTCATCTCTATCTGGTTTTGTTTTCATCACTTACCGTCTGCTTGAATCATACTTTCGTTGAGCATTGATGATTTGTTTGTAGCCTAAATTTCGTTTTGAAGTGTTAAAACTTGCATCGGTAGACTCGAAGTTGTTAGTCTAGGATTTCTCCTGGGGAAATTGATTGGATTTTGGTTCATAGATGTCATATTTTGTGAACTTTTAGATTCCGGAATTGGCACTGTTTGGTTTGACCTCAAAAACCACTGTCATCATTCATCATAATAGTTTCATATTATTGAGCCATGAACAAGATGCAACTAAGATTTTTGCACACAAAAGTTTAGAACTTTGGTTATTGCATAGATTCGAATGTTAATCTGTTTCTTCACAATGTGGTTGTTCCTTTTTCTGTGTGTGTTATTGATGTTTAAACTTGTTCTGGTGAAAAGCACATACAAGAACAAGAGCCTTTTGTGGGAATGGAGCAAGAAGCAGAGAGAAGCGCCACAAGTGTTGCATCGACCTCTGAAGGGTCGGGTCTAGATCCGATAGCTCGAACGAGGAAGCTCTTGTTCCGCCAGATGCTCGTGGGAATCAAAGACGGGAGGTTCTTCCTTGGCAATTTCCACTGCATCGACAAACAAGGAAACATAATCCTCCAGGACACCGTGGAGTATCGTAGCATAAGAAGATCGTCTCCTTCGCCTACCGAACAGCGTTGTCTTGGTATGATCCTAATCCCTTCCTCTTGCAGGACATCTTGCCATGTCGATTGCTCTATCGAGGAGCAGCTTTCGTTGGTTAAGCTGAAAGAGTAGAGCCTCTTCTTTTAAGACTTCATGAGAGAATATCTCCAGATTTCATCAACGTGTAACAAATATTAGTCTTATCATGGATTTGGTCTCTTCATTATTCCCAATTTCCCATTCTACTCCTTGTATTGCAAGACGAATGATTCTCATCATTGTGTGAAGACAAATTGTATACATGCATTGGAAACCCTTTTGGAATTTTTTTTTGTATTTATAATTAATCCGAGTATACATTAACTATATATAATTCAAAGATTTGTACTGTCGAAGGTTGTGATTTACTTACGAAGAGTTTCTTAATGCATTTTCAGTTTAAGAACCCAAAGACGTTTATTACAAAACCATAAAACAGAAAATTACATTTTGGAGAAGACACACATACATATGCTTCACAAATACTTAAAAAGAGGATGGTGGTGTTCAAATGGCACTTCTGGCGACATTTTAGGCTTTTTCCGAGAGAACTTTGACAAGAACCACTCGTGTTTGTGGGAAGAGAAGAAGATATGTCCGATCACCAATCCGCAGAACACACCTGGTCCATAGGTTATGGCAGCTGCTATCCAACTAATCACTTGTTGTTCTTCTGCCTCCGACAAATCATCGGATTCTTGTGGTGTAGGATGCGAGACATGAGTTTGTCCACATACATCTTCAAAACCGTAGAGTCTGGGGTTGTCCATGAATGCTGAACAGTTTTGTCTCTGAAACTGCGTGCCTCGTGGTATTGAACCTTGGAGATTGTTATAAGAGAAGTTCATGGCTGACAAAAAGGAGAGACTTGCAAGATTTTGAGGAATCTGACCAGACAGCTGATTTCTAGATAAGTCTAGTGCCTTGAGATTAGTCAAATTTGCCAACGATTGAGGTATATTGCTTGTGAATGCGTTACCAAACAAGTTGAGAAGACGCAATCCCTTCAACAATCCAATGGATTTCGGGATCTTCCCACAAAACTTGTTTCCTGAAAAGTCAATAACTCTGAAGTCTGTTCGGATCCACTCATATTTCGTATCGACTCCTTTATTAACCAATTCCATCGAATTACGATATAAATCACTATACTTGGGATCTCCCATGTACATGTCACCAACTTGTTCTTCTGTTAAGTTGATCATTCCACGCCAGTTTGAAAAATAGAAAGGTGGCAAAGTTCCAGAGAAGTCGTTATGTGATATATCGATGATTCTTAGACTTTCAAACCCAATGGAGGAGACATGGGGCTGATACAATGCCCCGTAGAATTTGTTTGATCGGAGGATCATGACTTGTAATGACATCAGAGAACCCAACCAAGATGGAAACTTGTCCTTGATTCTGTTGCCTTTCACATTCAACAGGCCCAAAAAAGTGTAGTTGATCAATGATTCTGGAAGTTTCCTTCCAAGTGGTTGCTGCTGAGGTCAAGTGACGTCAAGTGGGTAGCATTGAGAAATATATCCGGAGGAATAATTCCACTGAGATTGCTGTTTCGCAAATTCAGTGTTTGGAGACTAACAATGGTATTTCTCATACATGGAGGGATGGAGCCGCTGAAGCTATTGTTGGACAGATCTAAGAGCATTTGCGGTCTAAGGTTGCAGATCGAATGTGGTAATGGTCCTCGGAGAGAATTTGAACTAAGATCCAACTCACGGATATGTGTTGAATCGGAACTTTCTAATAATGTTCCAAAACTGCTGAAAGAGTTGTGAGAAAGCTTCAAAGACGACACGCCCCCTAACCAACTCGGTATCTCGCCTTCCAAGTTATTGTTGGAAAGATAAAAAAACTCGAGTTTGACTAATTTTACTCTTGGGATGGGCCTAGTTAAACTGTTGTGGCTAAGAAGGAGAAAACTGAGGTTGGATAACTTTGAGATAGATCTAGGGATTGGTCCACTGAAATTGTTGAAGCTAAGGTCTAAAAATTGAAGACTGGAAAATTTTGATATAGATTTAGGGATAGGGCCATCAAATTTGTTTTGAATAAGGTGTAGATCCTGAAGCTGAGAGGAGGAACATGGATTCCTAAATTCAATAGGTCCATTGAACTGGTTTCCCTCCAAACTAACCCATGTTAACGAAGAAATCATGAACAAGGATGTAGGAAAAGACCCTGAAAATGAGTTTTTAGACACATCAAAATACTCCAAGTTGTGGAATCGACTCATGTCAAGAGAAAATGTGGATCTAAATATATTATCGCTAATGTCGAAGAAGGACAAACCGGTGGTTAAATTTTGGAGTACAAGAGGGAAATTTTCACCACTGAATTGATTTCTTGAGATGTCTAAATGGGACAGTTTCGTTAAGTTGGCAAACGAAACAGCAATGTTTCCACTAAACTTGTTATTGCCAAGGTCTAGGTGTTCTAGTTTGGTTAGGTCTCCGACTGAATCCGAAACTTTACCTACTAAATTATTACCGAAAAGGTCAACATGTGTGAGATGAGAAAGGTTTCTTAATAAGGAAGGAATCTCTCCATAGAGATTGCAATCTAAAAGAGTGAGGTTACGAAGATGGTGGAGTTTGAAAAGACCACTGTTTGGTTTCAAGGAGTTGTTGAGAGTTATGTAACGAAGTTCAAGCGAAATCACTTGACCATATCTTGCATCGCACGTCACACCCAACCAAGAACAACAATCTCTGTTATTGTTCCATGAACTTAAAGATGGACTTGAGTTGGATTCATTTACCGGAAACTCGTGTTTGAACTCCATAAGAGCATCCCTCTGGTCATGACGGCAATGGTCGAGAAGCATATAAGATGCAAGAGTGTGTACAACGAGTGACACCAAGAAAAAGTAATACAAGGTCGCAATACCCGAAAAACAATAAAATTTACATGAAATCATCATTGCTCTTTTTTGTGTGTGTGTGTGTGTGTTTATGTGAAAGTGATCGGTTTTTTTTTTATGATTTTGGCTCTGTTTAAAAGGGAAAACAAAAACTCAAGTTGTCGTGACTTTGGCAAGTCTTCTCTAGCTTCAGTAATGATTTGTGCTACTTGCTTCAAAATTTTCCGCATACACCAAATCCGTGATTGGTTGATTCAAGTTGTCGGATTCGGTTGATTGAGAATGTCACATTTTAAATGTGCATTCATCACACTTTGTAACTTCCCCTGTTTTGTCTCTTTATTTTCATATTGGTCCCTTAGTTCTCTAATATATACCTGATCATCTATCTATTCCAATTTTCACCATTGTTTTACATATTGTGCCGTAAACTTTCAAAATAGTCAAAATGAACCAAAATAAGATTTCTGTTTTCTTTCTTCTGACTATACTCCCTCAAGGCATATGAGTATGACTATAGTTTCACCGACCATCTTAATAGTCCATAAAACATGTAATTTTGTTTCGTATCCCACCTTTTTTTTTCCCCAATTTCTACATGAATAATTGCCTCTCCCTTATTTTTACCACTTTTTGTTTTCATATTGCCCAAAATCAAAATTTATTCCATGTTCTCCTTGTGTTGCAAGACAAATGATTCACATCATTTTGTGAAGAAAAGCGTATACATGCATTGGAAACCCTTTTGGATTCTTCTTTTTGTATTTACATTTAGAAGACAAAAGTCTGAATCTTTTCCAAATTGTATTATCAACAACAACAAGGAAAAAAATTTCAAACAAGGATGCTTTTCTTCTTCTTTAGAATCTGTCTCTGTAAGCTGTTCCATACACAATGAGGTAGGGTACTGTTTTAACAACTGTATCAATGGGAATGGCAAAGTTCACACCTGAAGACATACCGGTCCCTGCAACACAAAAAGTCTTCTCTTCAGTCTCTCTTATTCATGTCGGAAAAAACCAGAATTTTGGTTAAGTTTTTAGATTTGGCAAGGAAACACTCACCTTTGCGGGTGAATGTGGCAGTGTTCACACCTATGGTGTGGCCATAAGAATCAAGCAATGGCCCTCCAGAATTTCCTATATTACATAAGGAAAACCAACTGATGAATGGGATGGGGAAACTGAGAGAAGTTTGTGAATGTACCTGAGTTAATGTCAGCATCGGTTTGAATCGCTTCTCGAATACTCTTCCCATTAGGTGAAGGTATCTCTCTTCCCAAACCACTCACTACCTACATCATCCCCACGATAACAATCCCCTTTTCAAGTGAGAAAATGTTTAGACTTTAGTGTGTATATAATATATACAGAAGCTCAGGATCTTATAACTCTTACCCCTATTGTCAAAGTGTTTTCATATCCATACGGATTCCCAATCGCATAGCAGCTCTGGCCTACGCGTAGATCACTGGAAGTACCGAGAACAGCTGGTTTTAATTCGCGTCCCTCGGTTTCAATCTGGAAATGTAAACATGAGTTAAAAAGGACTGTACATACAAGCATGACTCAATAGTACTATGTTGAACATCATTATCCTAAGATTACCTTCAACACCGCAAGATCATTATCTGGATCAAGACCCACAATTTTCCCAACCTTGCTAAATCTTATTCCCTTGGCATCAACAAGAGACACCTGCACGAGAACCCAAAACCAAAATCCATGATTTGTTCTTAAAGCTAACTTCGTTTGGCTTTCTAGTTTTGTTTTTGCTGCAACTGGATTAAAGAAGATGGAGACCTTACAACGTTGTAATCCACTCTGATCCGTAGCTAACTTGGAAATGACATGATAATTTGTTACCTGCATTGTACAAGAAACAACCTTTTCAGTTTTTCCAGGATTCAAAACAAGAAACTTTAGTTTTTTTTTGTCTTTCTTAACAGATAAAAAGATTTGTTATGCCTACAATGTGACCAAGCTTATCCCAAACGAAGCCCGAACCTGTCCCTTCGATCTTTGCGTTTTCATCATCGTTGAATTCACCAGTCGAAGTTTTGGGCAGCTCAATGTCTTCGATGAAAACAACTGACGGCGAAGTTTTCTGCGAAAATACAAAATTGAGACCATTTTTGTTCAACAGAGAAAAGAGGAAGCGTATCAGATTGCTCAAGGCAAATTAGGGCGAAACCTGGAAGAGATTGACATTTCTCTCTTCTTCTTCCTCGAGCTCATCCTCTTTTTCCTTCAATAGCTCCAACGCGATCGCAGATTCCACCGGAAAATTTCGTTGATTGGAGCCAAGCAGAGTCGACGCGAGAGCCAAACTAGAACCGAAGATCACGATTCTTCTTCTCCGATCGACGGCGTCAACATGATTCGAACCGGAGCAAGCTAACACTAAATTCGGCCGATATACTGGAGGTGAAGTATGAAAAACTGATGAGGAAAAAGCTTTAGAAGAAGCAAGAGCCACGGCCATGGCTTCTTCTTCTTCTTCTTCTTCTTCTTCTTCTTCTTTCTCTCCTACAATGGCTTTCACTCAACTTCCACACAGAGGAGATAAGGCGGAGGGAATAGGTTTGGTTTTCTTTTCGGTTTTTCCGGTTAGGTTCTTATCAAACCGGGAATGTTCTGTGATTTTACAAAATGGAGACATGTTAACCGGGTTAATCTTGAGGTGGGAAAAAATGGAGATCACTAGCGGTTTGCTATTTGAATTCTAAGAGATGTCTTCTTTATATTTTTATGTTATCTTAGTTTGTACTTATAATTCTTTCTTTCCCATTCAAAAAAGAAAGACAATCTTTGATCATACATACCGCAATGAAGAAAGTGGTCTTGTCTCCAAGTTCAGAGAATCAAGAACTCCTGCAGAGAGACATAGACATAGCAAAACGTGAAATTTCAAGGACTGGCACAGAAGAAGAGGTGTACTGTCACAGAAGAATTAATCCGATTATACATTAACTATACAGTTCAAAGAGGTGTACTGTCACAGATTTTGATTTACGTAGGAAGAAGTTTCTGAATGCATATTCAATTTAAATACCAAAGACGTTTATTACAAATGCATAAAAACAGAAAATTACAGTTGGAGAACACAAGACATACATATGCTTCGAAAACACTTTAATAATGAGGATGGTGTTCATCATGCGACTATTTTGGGCTTGTTTCGAAGGTACTTTTACATGAAACACTTGAGTTTGAGTGGAGAGAAGATATATCCAATCACCAATCCGCAGAACACACCTGGTCCATAGGCTATTGCCGCTGCTATCCAACTAATCACTTGTTCTTGTGGCTCCGACAAATCCTCAGATTCTTGTAGTGTTGGATTCGGGACGTGAGTTTCGCCACATACATCTTCGAGACCGTAGAGTCTGGGATTGTCAATGAATGTTGAACAATTTTGTCTCTGAAACTGCGTGCCTCTTGGTATTGGACCTTCCAGATTGTTGTGGGAGAAGTTCATGATTGACAAAAAAGAGAGACCTCCAAGATCTGGAGGAATCTGACCAGAGAGCTGATTCCCGGATAGGTCTAGTGCCTCTAGGTTTGTCAGATTTGCCAACGATTGAGGTATATTGTCCGTGAAAGCGTTGCCTGACAAGTTGAGAAGATGCAATCCCTTCAATAGTCCGATGGATATCGGGATTTTCCCACTAAAACTGTTTCTTGAAAAGTCAATAGCTCTGAAGTCTTTTTGGATCTGTTCGAATTTTGTATCAACTCCTTTATTCACCAGTTCCATCGAACTACTGTAGATACCACTAGACAAAATATCTACCATGTACATGTCAATGAGGCCACCAAGTGCTTCCGTTAACGTGGTCATTTCACGCCAGTTGGAAAAATAGAAAGATGGCAAAGTTCCATTGAGATCGTTGTGTGATATATCGATGATTTGTAAACTTTGAAACCCAATGGACACAGGAGGATAACTCAACGGCCCGTAGAGTTCGTTTGATCGGAGGATCATGACTTTTAAAGACGGCAGAGAACCCAACCAAGACGGAAACATGTCCTTGATTCTGTTTCTTCCAACGTTCAATAGTTGCAAACTCGTGCAGTTGATCAATGACTCTGGAAGTTTCCCGTCCAAGTGGTTGCCGCTGACGTCAAGTGACACCAACTCGGTAGCATTGAGAAACAACTCTGGACGAAGAGTCCCACTGAGATTGTTGTTCTGCAGATTCAGCGTTTGGACAGTGGTATGCCTCAAACACTGAGGGATGGAGCCGGTGAAGTTATTGTTGGACAAATCCAAGAGCTCTACGAGTCTAAGCTTGCAGATCCAATGGGGTAATGGTCCTAGGAAAGAGTTTGAACCGAGATCCAAATCACGGATTTCTGTTAAACCGGAATCTTCAAACGATTTTTCAAAACCGGTGAAAGAGTTGTGAGAAAGCATCAACATAGGCAGCCTCCCTAAGCAACCTGGTATCTCGCCTTCCAGCTTATTGTTGGAAAGATCAAGATAGGCGAGTTTGTCTAAATTTGATATAGATCTAGGGATTGGTCCAGTGAGATTGTTGTTGCTAAGACCGAGAGAAAGGAGGTTGACTAGCTTTGATACAGATGTTGGGATTGGTCCAGTGAGATTGTTGTGAGTAAGTGTTAAACCTACAAGATTGGAAAAATTTGATATGGATTTGGGGATAGGACCGTCGAGTTTGTTTCGATCCAGGAATATATACTGAAGCATAGAGGAAGAAGATGATATATTCCTAAATTCTATAGGTCCCTTGAACTGGTTTCCGGACAAATCAACACTTGTTAACGAAGGAATCGTGAACAAGGATGCAGGGAAAGGCCCTGAAAATGAGTTTCCAGCCACATCAATTTCCTCCAAGCTGTGGAATCGACTCATGTCAGAGGGAAGCGTGGATGATCTAAATAGATTATAGCTAATGTCTAAGAATGACAAGCTTGTGGTTAGATTTTGGAGTAGAAGAGGGAAAATATCACCCGTGAATTGATTTCTCGAGATGCCTAAATGGGAAAGCTTTCTTAAGTTGGCAAATGAAAGAGGAATGTTCCCACTAAATTTGTTATTGCCAAGGCTTAGGTATCTTAGTTGGGTTAAATTTCCGACTGAAGCTGGAAATTCACCTACTAAATTATTATAGGAAAGGTGAAGATCTGTGAGATGAGAAAGGTTTCCTAATGAAGAAGGAATCTCTCCATAGAGATTACAAAGTGAAAGAGATAGGTTACGAAGATGGTGGAGTTTGAAAAGACCACTATTTGGTTTCATAGAGTTGTTGAGAGGGATGGAATCAAGGTCAAGTGAAATCACCTCGCCAGATTTAGCATCGCACGTGACACCCTCCCAGGAACAGCAATCGCTAATCTTGTTCCATGAACCTAAATATGGATTTGAGTGGGATTCATTTACCGGAAACTCGTGTTTGAACTCAAGAAGAGTATCTCTCTGGTCACGACGGCAACGGTTGAGCATAGGAGAAGCAATAGTGTGTACAACGAGTGATGCCAAGAAAAAGCAATACAACAAGGTCACAATACCAAAAAAGCAATAAGATTTGCTTGAAATCATCACTAACCTTTCTTCTTGTTTTTATTTGTTCTTTTGTGTTTGTGTGGAAGATCGTGGCTTAGGCAGCTCTATTTAAAAAGGAAAACAAAAACTCATATTTTCTTGACTTTGGTAAGTCTTGCGTCAAGCTGTTCTGAAAAAAGAAAAAAAAAAAAGTTGTCGGATAATGTTACTATAAAGTTTTCCTTCCACTTAGACAGAACCCGATTGGTTGATTGACTCTTGCGAGTTCTATTTCAAATTTTCCACGTGCTTACAAATTTTTCTTTTTGTAAATTTTTAACGATAATTGCAGACCAATGTTAAGAAGACTCCTCTTATCATTAGAGATTCATCAGGATGAATAAGATGATAAACAATTAAATATCAGAAACTCTTCCACTGGTATGTTTTTGCCCAATGGATTTCAGATTGCAAGACTGCAGAAGAAAATAAATCACTACAGGAAGAATCGGAAACCTTTCAAGACTATTGAGGTCATGAAAATGATTTAAAGACTATGGTTGTTCATAGCAGAAAATTTCCTAAAGAAAACACCAAGAACCAATGAATGCTGATGAGAAGTTAACCGACACATTTAACCGACAAGATTAGCTGCAGAACAGAAGCTTAGATTTTTGAAACTTACAATGACGCCATTTGTTAGAGATTAAAATTTAGTGAGCGAACAGATCGCTATATCGAGGTGATAAAGAACAAGATAGAGGAAAAGCACGAGAAAAAAAGAATTTATGTAAAGTCACTAAAACGTTAGAGACAGAGAGAGAAGGAAAAGATCCCAAACTTGTTTCAAGTGGACATAACAAAAGCTAGGAACATGAGAGCAATGCGATCACCATTTGAAGTTTTCGAATCAGAAATTTCTATCATAGCTCCAGATATCTGAAGGAAAGAGAGGTAACTGCCACATGAACAACAAGAGAGAAAGAGAAAACCGAAATAACGATCAAAAGATTTCAGAAACAAACCCATCTTATGTTCTCCAAATTGCCTCCTCTGCTCATAACTTTACCCACTGCATTCTCCGGGACTAGAATCTCCAAGGCAGAAGACTGATGCAATCTATAAATCAAGAAAGAACATTAACAGAGAAAAAGAGTTTAGAAAAAGACTTTTGCTATTTGAATTCTAAGAAATGTGTTGTTTATGTGATCTTAGTTTATACTTGTTATTCTTATAATGGATTCGTGCGCTCACTGTTTGTTTGGAAGTAGAAGAAGAGCACCACAGACTTCTTTGTAGTTAGCTTATTTTCTTATGTTTTTGTTAGACAAAAGATCAAGATTGCTCTGATCATTTCGAAGTTTTGAAAACAGAATAGATTTATTTATACAGTTATTTTTAAGAAAAATTTGCAAAACAACTCCATCACTATCCCAAATCTTATATCTTTTATTAACCTATCGAATTTGTTGTAGCATTAGCATATACAGCAAGAATGACGTGTATGAGAAGCAAGAGTGTTAGATACTTTCATCCTCTATGATTTGGGAGAAGAAAAGTTTCCATTAGGCTTTTTGACTCGGAACGTTTTGGTAAAGAAAATTTAAAACGAAGTGAATTAATGGTTTACATAATACAAGAGACCAATGATAAAATCTCAATCACCAAAGCATATAGCATTCCAGATAATCCAAACATTCGTACTATCACAGGTTTTGATTTATTTAGGAAGAAGTTTCTGTATGCATTTTGAATATAAGAAACCAAAGACGTTTATTACAAAACCATAAAACAGGAAATTACGTTTGGCTTGTTTCAAGGGAACTTTGACAAGAACCACCTGTATTTGTGGGAAGAGAAGAAGATATGTCCGATGACCAGTCCGCAGAACACCCCGGTCCATAGGCTATAGCCGCTGCTATCCAACTAATCACTTGTTGTTGTGGCTCCAGCAAGTCTTCAGATTCTTGTAGTGTTGGATTCGGGACGTGAGTTTCTCCACATACATCTTCGAGACCGTAGAGTCTGGGGTTGCCCATGAATGCCGAGCAATTTTGCCTCTGAAACTGTGTGCCTCGTGGTATTGGACCTTGGAGATTGTTGTGGGAGAAATTCATGATTGACAAAAAGGAGAGACTTCCAAGATCTCGAGGAATCTGACCAGACAGCTGATTCCGAGACAAGTTGAGAAGACGCAATTCCTTCAATTGAGGTATATTGCTTGTGAATGCGTTACCTGACAAGTTGAGAAGACGCAATTCCGAGACAGCTGACCAGACCTCGAGATTTTTCAGATTTGCCAACAATTGAGGTATATTGCTTGTGAATGTGTTACCTGACAAGTTGAGAAGACGCAATTCCTTCAACAATCCAATGGATCTCGGGATCTTCCCACAAAATTTATTTCCTGAAAAATCAATGGCTCTGAAGTCTCTTAGTATCCGCTCAAATTTCGTATCGACTCCTTTATTCACCATCTCCATTGAATTCAGATAGAAATAACTATACATGGGATCGTCCATGTACATGTCACCACCAACTTCTTCGGTTAACGTGGTCATTTCACGCCAGTTGGAAAAATAGAAAGGTGCCAAAGTTTCAGAGAAGTCGTTATGCGATATATCGATGATCTTTAAACTCTGAAACCCAATGGACACATTGGGTTGATACAACGGCCCTTAGAATTCATTTGATCCTAGGATCATGACTTTTAATGACGGCAAAGAACCAAATCAAGATGGAAACTTGTCCTTGATTCTGTTTCTTCCAACGTTCAAAAGTTGCAAATCAGTGCAGTTGATCAATGATTTTGGAAGTTTTCCCTCCAACTGGTTGCTGCTGAGGTCAAGTGACACTAACATGGTAGCATCGACAAACATTTCTGTAGGAAGAGTTCCACTGAGATTGTTGTTTTGCAAACTCAGAATTCTGAGACCAACAACGATATCCTTTGAACATCGAGGGATGGAGCCGGTGAAGTTATTGTTGGACAAATCTAAGATGAGCAACATTCTAAGCTTGCAGATCCAATGGAACAGCGGTCCTCAGAAAGAATTTGAACTAAGATCCAACTCCGAAATATGTGCTAAATCGAAAACTTCAAATGATTTTTCAAAACTGCTGAAAGAGTTATGAGAAAGCTTCAACTGCGACACGCCCACTAACCAATCTGGTATTTCACCTTCTAACTTATTGTTGGAAACATCAAGATACTCAAGTTTGACTAACTTTGATCTAGGGATTGTCCCAGTGAGATTGTTGTGGCCAAGATTGGCAGTGACAAGGTTGAATAAATTTGATAAAGATCTAGGGATTGTTCCACTGAAACTGTTGTAGCTAAGATCTAAAAAAGCAAGGTTTGGAAACTTTGATATAGATTTGGGGATATGGCAATCGAATTTGTTTTGACCAAGATCTAGTCTCTGAAGCTTAGGGGAGGAAGATGTATTCCTAAATTCTATAGGTCCCTTGAACTGGTTTTCCCTCAAATTAACCAATATTAACGAAGGAACCATGAACAAGGATGTAGGAAAAGGCCCGAAAAATGATTTTTCAGACACATCAAAATACTCTAAGTTGTGGAATCGACTCATGTTAGGAGAAAGCGTTAATTTAAATAGATTTTTGCTAATGTCTAAGACAGACAAAGTTGTGGTTAAACTTAGGAGTACAAGAGGGAAATTTTCACCAGTGAATTGATTGCCTGAGATGTCTAAATGGGACAGGTAAGTTAAGTTGGCTAATGAAAGAGGAATATTTCCACTGAGCTTGTTACTGCCAAGTCGTAGGTAGTTTACTTGGGTTAGGTTTCCCACTAAATCCGGAACTTCCCCTACTAAGTAATTACCGAAAAGGTTAAGATGTGTGAGATAAGAAAGGTTTCCTAATGAGGAAGGAGTCTCTCCATAGAGATTGCAACCTCCAAGACTTAGGTTACGAAGATGGTGGAGTTTGAAAAGACCACTATTTGGTTTTAAAGAGTTGTTGAGTGGGATGTAACGAAGTTCAAGTGAAATCACTTGACCAGATCTTGCATCGCACGTCACACCTTCCCAAGAACAGCAATCGCTACTCTTGTTCCATAAACTTAAAAAACATGGACTTGAGTTGGATTCATTTACCGGGAATTCGTGTTTGAACTCCAGAAGAGCATCCCTCTGGTCATGAAGGCAATTGTGGAGAAGTATAGGAGAAGCAAGAGTGTGTAGAACGAGTGACACCAAAAAAAAGAAATACATAAGGTCAAAATAGCAGAGAAGCAATAAGATTTGCTTGAAATCATCATTAGCCTTTCTTTCTTTTGTGTTTGTGTGGAACAGTGTGAGCGATATGATTGTAGCTTATGCAGCTCTTTTTAAAAAAGACAATATAATAACTCAATTTGTCTTGACTTTGGCAAGTGTTGCCTTAAGTCGTCGGATAGAGTTGACTTTGTTGTCTTCCAATCCTGTCTAGCACCAGTGATTTATGTTACAAATTTTTTCTCATTGCTTGATTCAAGTGGTCGGATTCGGTTGACTGATTCAAAATTGTTTTTTGTTCTTTTCTGCCGATTTTTAATCGCAGACCAATGTTAAGAAGATTTCTCTGATCATTCTAATTATTATTTTTTTATATATTAAAAGGGCATTCAGAATCTCAGATCATTATAAATTTCGCAGCAAGAATCACCGTTGAATATGGAGCTGCAGGGGTTGTAGTTTCTAACCACAGAGCTCGTCAGCTCGATTACGTCCATGCAATTATAATGGCTCTCGTAGAAGTAAACCTTGAAATGGAACTACATTAAAAAAAAAAGGAGCACTGCTTTTTTTTCATTCTTATCTTATGTTCTTAATTTTTGTAATCATAGTAGAGATTCTATTAATTAATACTTGATAGATTGATAAATTCTATAAATTAATAAAAAAATTTGGTCTTAAATTAGACCGATTAATTATATAATAAAATTAATAAAATAATAAGATGATAATTTTTTTAAAAAATATATATATATGTAAACAATACCATTAATATCATAAATTAATACGTATCATAAAAAACAATGTTATATAAATATATAACTATGTTAATTTTCTAAAATATAAATATAAGGAGCACTGCTTTTTTTTTCATTCTTATCTTATGTTCTTAAATTTTGTAATCATAGTAGAAACTCTATTAATTAATACTTGATAGATTGATAAATTCTATAAATTAATAAAAAAATTTGGTCTCAAATTGGACCGATTTATAATATAATAAAAAACAATAAAATAATAAGATGATAATTTTAAAAAAAAATGTATATATGTAAACAAGCCCATTAATATCATAAATTAATAAGTATCATAAAAAACAATGTTATATAAATATATAACTATGTTAATTTTCTAATATATATATATATATATATATATATATATTTTGTTTTTATCAAAATTGAAATAATGTTATATATTGTTCTCAATTCAAATAATAAATTAATAACTTGTTCTCAATTCAAATATTAAAATTCCAATATTATTAATTTACACAAGCAAATGCCCCTCAAAATGGTCAGAAAAATATATGTCCAAACGAAAACCGAATTGAATAAACCGAATATCATTTAAAAATTAATGTGATATGAGACTTTTGCTATTTGAATTCTAAGAAATGTCTTGTTTATGTGATCTTACTTTATACTTGTTGTTTTTATAATGGACTCATGCGCTCAATGTTTTTTTGGAAGTAGAAGAAGAGCTCCACAGACTTCTTTATATTCCAGACTTTGTAGTAGTTAGCCTATTTTCTTATGTTTTTGTTAGACAAAGATAAGACTGCTCTGATAATTTCGAAGTTTTGAAAACAAAAAATATTCATTTACTTTATACCTTTTTTTAATTTGAAAAAAACAACCCGTCACTATCCAAATCTTAAATCTTTACTATCCCTATCGAATTTGTTGTACCATTAGCATAGCAGAGCTAGAGTGACGTGTATGACAAGCAAGAGTGTTAGATACTTTCATCATCTATGATTTAGGAGAAGAAAAGCTTCCATTGGGCTTTTCGACTCGGAAAGTTTTGGTAAGGAAAATTTAAAACGACGTGTTTAATGGTTTACATGAAAGAGACTAATGATAAAATCACAATCACCAAGAGCATTTAGCATTCCAGATAATTCAAACATTCGTACTATCACAGGTTTTGATTTATTTAGGAAGAAGTTTCTGAACTGAATGCATTTTTCAATATAAGAAACCAAAGACGTAAAGGAAATTACATTTAGAGAACACACACACATACAAATGCTTGAAATACACTTAAAGAGACGATGGTGTTCATCTGGCGACCATTTTGGGCTTGTTTCAAGGGAACTTTGACAAGAACCACTTGTGTTTGTGGGAAGAGAAGAAGATATGTCCGATCACCATTCCGCAGAATACACCAGGTCCATAGGCTATAACCGCTGCTATCCAACTAATCACTTGTTCATGTGGCTCCGACAAATCCTCGGATTCTTGTAGTGTTGGATTGGGGACGTGAGTTTGTCCACATACATCTTCGAGACCGTAGAGTCTAGGGTTGTCCATAAACACTGAACAGTCTTGTCTCTGAAACTGCGTGCCACGTGGTATTGGACCTTCGAGGTTGTTGTGCGAGAAGTTCATGTGTGACAAAAAAGAGAGGCTGCCAAGATCTCGAGGAATCTGACTAGACAGCTGATTCTTGGATAGGTCTAGTGCCTCGAGGAATGTCAGATATGCCAACGATTGAGGTATGTTGCTTGTGAATGCGTTGCCTGACAAGTTAAGAAGACGCAGTTCCTTCAACAATCCAATGGATTTGGGGATCTTTCCAGAAAACTTGTTTCCTGAAAAATCAATAGCTTTGAAGTCTGTTCGCATCATTTCATATTTCGTATCGATTCCTTTATTCACCATTTCCAGCGAACTACGAAAGAAATAACCATACTCGGTATATCCCATGTAAATGTTGTCACGAAGTTCTTGGCTTAAAGTGGTCATTTCACGCCAGTTTGAAAAATAGAAAGGTGGCAAAGTTCCAGAGAAGTCGTTACATGATATATCAATGACTTTTAGACTTTTAAACCCAATGGACGCATGAGGATGATACAACGGCCCATAGAATCCGTTTGATCGAAGGATCAAGACTTGTAATGCCGGTAGAGAACCCAACCAAGACGGAAATTTGTCCTTGAGCATGTTGCCTTGCACGTTCAAAAGTTGCAGATTGGTGCAGTTGATCAATGATTCTGGAAGTTTTCCCTCCAAGTGGTTGCCGCTGACGTCAAGTGAGACCAAGTTGTTACCGTTGACAAATATTTCCGAAAGAAGAGTTCCACTGAAATTGTTGTTTTGCAAATTCAGCATTCTGAGACCAACAACAATGTCCTTCAAACATTGAGGGATGGAGCCGGTGAAGTTGTTGTTGGACAAATCTAGGAAGAGTGACATTCTAAGCTTGCAGATCCAATGGAACAATGGTCCTCGGAAAGAATTTGAACTGAGTTCCATCTCGAAAATATGTGTCAGATCGGAGTCTTCGAATGATTCTTCAAAACTGGTGAAAGAGTTGTGAGAAAGCTTCAGCGTCGACACGCCACCTAACCAACCTGGTATCTCGCCTTCCAACTTATTGTTGGAGAGATCAAGAAACTCGAGTTTGGCTAAGTTTAACCTAGGGATTGTCCCAGTGAGATTGTTGTGGCCAAGACTGGCGGTGACTAGGTTGACTAACTTTGATATAGATCTAGGGACTGGTCCACTGAAATTGTTGAAGCTAAGATCTAAAAAATTAAGGTTGGAAAATTTTGATATGGATTTGGGGATAGGGCCATCGAATTTGTTTTGACCAAGGTGTAGTCTCTCAAGCTTAGAGGAGAAAGATGACGTATTCCTAAATTCTATTAGTCCCTTGAACTGGTTTTTTTTCAGTTCAACAGTTGTTAACGAAGGAATCATGAACAAGGATGTAGGAAAAGGTCCGAAAAATGAGTTTTCAGACACATCGAAATACTCCAAGTTGTGGAATCGACTCATGTCAAGAGAAAGAGTGGATTTAAATAGATTTTTGCTAATGTCTAAGATCGACAAACTTGTGGTTAGGTTTAGGAGTACAAGAGGAAAGTTTTCACCAGTGAATTGATTTCTTGAGATGTCTAAATGGGAAAGCTTTGTTAAGTTGGCAAATGAAAGAGGAATGTTTCCACTGAACTTGTTACTGCCAAGGCGTAGGAATCTTAGTTGGGGTAGGTTTCCCATTGAAGCCAGAACTTCACCCACTAAATGATTATCTAAAAGGTCAAGATGTGTGAGATGAGAAAGGTTTCCTAATGAAGAAGGAATCTCTCCATAGAGATTGCAACCTCCAAGAGTTAGGTTACGGAGATGGAAGAGTTTGAAAAGAGCACTATTTGGTTTCAAAGAGTTGTTAAGAGGGATGTAACGAAGTTCAAGTGAAATCACTTGACCAGATTTATCATCGCAGGTTACACCCTCCCAAGAACAACAATCACTACTCTTGTTCCATGAACTTATAGAATATGGACTTGAGTTGGATTCATTTACCGGAAACTCGTGTTTGAACTCCATAAGTGCATCCCTCTGGTCATGACGGCAACGGTTGAGCATAGGAGAAGCAAAAGTGTGTACAACGAGTGAAACCAATAAAAAGAAATACAACAAGGTCACGATACCAGAAAAGCAATAAGATTTGCATGAAATCGTCATTATCTTCTTTTTTTTTTTAGTTTTTTTTCCTTCTTTTGTATTTGTGTGGAAGTGATGTGATTATGGCTTATGCAGCTCTGTTTATAACGAATATAAAAACTCAATTTGTCTCTTGACTTTGGCAAGTCTTGCGTAAGTCGTCGAATAAAGTTGATTTTGTCGTCTTCTAAACCCGTCTTGCAGTGATTTGTGCCTCAGACTTTTTCCACATAGACCAAATCCGTGTTTGATTGATTCAAGTGGGTCCCATTTGGTTGACTGATTGACTCTTTCCAGAAAGATTTCATTTGATTCACAAGTGGGTCCAATTTGTTTTTTGGGCTTTGGGCTTTTTTCCGAAATGTAGTTTTTGCTGAAATTCCAAAATTGAGATAACTAACGTTTGGTATATGGGCTGAGATATCATATGAGACCTTTGCTATTTAAATTCCGAGAGATGTCTTGTTTAATTATGTGACTTAATTTGCACTTATCATTCTTGATAGGACTCATGTGCTCACTGTTTTTTTGCAAGTAGAAGAAGAGTTCCAGACTTCTTAAGATTCCTATAGTTTTTTTTTTTCATGAAATTATAGAGAAATTGTACCGAATTGAATAAACCGAACCGAACATCATTTGATGGATCTTTTGTATCATGTGTTTTATTTTTACATCACGTGACAAGCACACATATCGATCACAGAGACGTACGCTTTTTCGTGACTTCTATGAGTGTGTGGTCTCTTTCAGAAATATTCAATCTACTGAAAAGCTTATAAATCATTTTCTTCCTTTTTTCTTTTAGTATTCTTCGCCACCTTCCCAAGAAGAAGAAGACCCAAGCCGCTCTCGTGTAAGCTCTCTGCTACTTCTCTCGTTTACGATTTGTTTGGGTGCTTTTTGATTCGAAAATCAAAAGTGGTGAGCGAGTGAAAGATCCTGTGATTTTAAAATCTGGGTCAGTTTTTTGTTTGGTTCTGTGATCGCTCACTGTACTGTGTTATAGTTGACCTTTTATTTTTTTGTTAAATCTTAAATTCTGGAATCTGGGGAAGTGATTTTGATGATGAAAATCTTTAAAAAAGAGATTTTTTTTTTTTTTTTTATCAACCAGGAGTTTTCGTTTGAGTTGTTGAAAAAATGGAGATGGTTACAAACGTGATGGAGTTCGAGAAGATCGCAAAGGAGAAATTGCCGAAGATGGTTTATGATTACTATGCATCTGGTGCAGAGGATCAATGGACTCTTCAGGAGAATCGAAATGCCTTCTCCAGGATTCTGTAAGAAAGTCCACAAATGTTTTTTTTTTTCTCCATTTATTGTTTATATTTGGTTGGTGAGATTTTAAATTGTGTTTGAAACAGATTTAGGCCTCGAATTCTGATCGATGTAAGCGAGATTGATGTGAGCACAAGGGTTCTAGGGTTCAACATTTCTATGCCAATCATGATTGCTCCTACTGCAATGCAGAAAATGGCTCACCCTGATGGTTAGTCTTTTACTGTTATGAACTGAGTCTTAACAGAAAGAGAAAAGATCTTAGCCTGAGAAGATGTTTTTTTAACCTTTAGAGTAACTTTATCTGATACTACTAAGAAAAAGATCTTAGCTTTAAGATTGAAACATATAAAGCATTCGCCTTTCTCTTCACTTAGAGAATACTTGTTCTCACTATTGTGAAATGGTTTATTATATTTGCAGGAGAGCTTGCAACTGCGAGAGCTACTTCTGCAGCCGGAACGATCATGGTGTTGATTCGTTCCCTGTCTCTCTTTTTCTGACCTTATTAGATAACTCCTTGATGTATTCGTCTTCTGTATTGTTTGGTATTTTTCAGACTTTATCTTCATGGGGCACTTGTAGTGTTGAGGAAGTTGCTTCCACAGGGCCTGGGGTTCGCTTTTTCCAACTCTATGTAAGTATGCAGAAGATCTGGTACTTGTTTTGGTTTGGCTTGGCTTTCGAATCGGGTTTTGATTCTCTGTGAATCAGGTTACCAAGGACAGAAATGTGGTTAGACAGCTTGTGAAACGAGCCGAAGAAGCTGGATTCAAAGCGATTGCTCTTACTGCAGATACCCCGAGGCTCGGACGCAGAGAATCCGACATCAAAAACAGGTTCTGAAACTTCACTCCATCATACGATTTTTTTTTGGTGAGATCTTTTGCTTATCTTGATTGATATTGTCTCTGCAGATTCGCGCTTCCTCGAGGTCTGACCTTGAAGAACTTCGAAGGATTGGATCTTGGGAAAATCGAAAAGGTTCTTGGCACAATGATAAGCAGATTGAATCTAAAGGCTCAATACAAAGTTAATTTTTCTTTTATCTGTTGATGATTGCAGACGGATGACTCAGGGCTAGCTTCATATGTTGCTGGTCAAATTGATCAGTCACTTAGCTGGAAGGTCAGGATCTGTAACAAGATTTGTTCATTTGATTTCAAATTTTTGTTTCAGAAATAAAATAATAGTCTTGCTTCTTTTTCCATGTTTTGTTTACTTTTTACAGGATATAAAGTGGCTCCAATCTATCACAAGCTTGCCAATTCTTGTCAAGGGTGTTATTACAGCTGAGGATGGTAATAATCTGCATCAATCAGAAACTTAATTAAAATTTCATAATGTTATGAAGATTCTCCTCTGATCATTCGAAGTTTTTTGCAGCAAGAATCGCTGTTGAATATGGAGCTGCAGGGATTATAGTCTCTAACCATGGAGCTCGTCAGCTCGATTACGTCCCTGCAACTATAATGGCCCTTGAAGAGGTTATCCTCTAAAAATGCTTTTACATTTAAAGAACTGTTATATTTTTTTTCATTCTTGTTGTATGGAAGTTTGAGTTTTGATTCGACCGAGCAAATACAAATTTTGCAGGTGGTTAAAGCCGTGGAGGGTCGGATTCCGGTGTTTCTTGACGGTGGGGTTCGCCGTGGAACAGATGTCTTTAAGGCATTGGCTCTTGGCGCTTCAGGTGTCTTTGTAAGTTCTCTCACTCATCACACACACTTGAGCTCTGTTTTCTCTCTTTACTTTCCAACTCCACAAGACTTTTACCACTTTTTTCACATTGGGCCCGAAACTTATTAAATAGTCAAAATGAACCTAAGCATAATGAGTACATGTAATTACTTGGTTCGATTAGGTCGGGAGGCCGACGTTGTTCTCGCTTGCAGCAGACGGAGAGGCCGGAGTGAGGAAGATGCTGCAAATGCTAAGAGACGAGTTCGAGCTGACAATGGCACTAAGTGGCTGCCGTTCGCTGAGAGAGATCAGTAGAAACCACATCAAGACCGATTGGGACTTTCCTCATTACGTCCCGGCCAAGCTATAGGGACTTCTTCTGATAGTCATCAAAGAAAATGAAAAGAGAGATGTTTGAATTTATGATCCAATAATGTATTTCCCCATTCAACTCTAAAATCGAAAACTTCCATTTGAGTAAAAAATATTTTGATTATATAACTAAGGATGTTTGCATCTTGCAATGCAAAAATGTTTGATGATATAACTAAGGATGGTTCATAGTAATCTGCATGTAAAAATGTGTTTTAAACAATCATGACGTAAGTACTGTTGGACCAGGATTTGTAAATCCAGCAAGATGTATCGTCTGTCACATAGCACACTAAGCACAGCAACAGTGACGTGTCTGAGAAGCAAGAGTGTTGGATACTTTTATCCTTTGTGATGTAAGTAGAAGAAACGTTTCCATTGGACTCTTTGACCATTTTTGGCTTGTTCCATGAACCACTTGTGTTTTGTGTGAAGAGAAGATATGTCGAATCATTGTATTAGTTGGTTTTTTTTTCTTGGGAACAAGGCTCATCACGTGACATGCACACATGACACACACACACACAGAAACGTACGTTATTTTTGTTACTTATATGAGTGAGTGACGTCTCTTTATCAGGAATATTCAATCCAGATTATTTTTCTTGTTCTTATATTCGCCACCTTCCCAAAAATAATGGAGATGATTACAAACGTGATGGAGTTCGAGAAGATCGCAAAGGAGAAATTACCAAAGATGGTTTATGATTACTATGCATCTGGTGCAGAGGATCAATGGACTCTTCAGGAGAATCGAAACGCTTTCTCCAGGATTCTGTAATGAATTTCCAAATGTGTTTTTTGTTTTTTGTTTTACTTTGATTTGGGTGGTAGGGGATTTTATTGTGTTTGTCTCTTTCATGTGTTTGAAACAGATTTAGGCCTCGAATTCTAATCGATGTAAGCGAGATTGATGTGAGCACAACTGTTCTAGGGTTTAACATTTCTATGCCAATCATGATTGCTCCTACTGCAATGCAGAAAATGGCTCACCCTGATGGTTAGTATTTTAGAGCTATGAACTTAGTTTAGTAGAAAAAAGCGGTTTGAGAATAATTTTTTTAGCTTTTAGAGTAATCAACACCTAGGTTGCATGGAAACTCCGTCCGAGGTACTGTTTCTGAAACGTTTCGGAAACCGAAACTCTCGGAAACTCGTCGGAAACACAAAAAATCACGTTTTCTAAAAATTTTAATTTGGAAACACTTTGGAAACGCGTTTCCATTTTAGAAACACGCGTTTCCATTTTGTAAAGAAGATAAAAACTAATTTCTTGTTTTTATAGAATAAATAAATAATTATAAAAATTAAATTAAATAATCGATTTACTTATTTAAAGTAAATAATAAATATTTTGATTTGGTAATTAAGATTAATTTTGAGATTATTAAGTTTGAAAATTATTCTCTGGATGAATAAGAATTAGAGATAGATTGGTTAATAAAACTAATAAGAATTAGAGATATTTTAATTTTTATAGTTTAATAATTATGTAAAAATTATATATTAGATTTTATTGATTTAAATATTCTACTTATAATTAGATCTGTAATACTTAATATATATATATATATATACACGTTTCCAAAACGTTTCTATTTCTATATTTCTTTTAAAATAACGTTTCTACGTTTCGAAACGTTCCGCTTCCACATACCTGTTTCCGTTTCCATGCAACATAGATCAACACAACAATAACATTGACAACTCAGATTTTTTAAGCTTTATAAATATGACACCTCAGCAAAAATAATCACCAATCAAAACATTTTATTAATACATCTCATCTACTTATTTTAATTTTTAAACTTAACCCCATTAAAAACCTAAATATTTTTTCTATTAATTTTTGTTTTATTTTTTACCAAATCCAAGTCCAAATAATTAATAACAGCAAATAAAAAATTATTATTTTATTTTTTACCAAATCCAAACCCAAATAATAAATAAAAATAAATAAAAAAATTAAATCGTTGTTTCCTTTTTTTGCCAAAACCAAATGCAAATAATAAATAACAACAAATAAATAATAAAAAAATTCTAGCTATCTATTTGTTTGACATAGACGTATATGATTGAAAAAGTGTAGGCTCAGCATCAACAATGCTTCCATGATAACAACGCAAAAAAACTTTATGTTATAAGAAACTCACACATCAGCAAAAATTTGAACAGATAAAAACATAACAATAACACTAAAGTCTCTCCATGGCTTGACACCTCAGCCTTTTTAAGCTTAATAAACATGACACATCAGCAAAAATAATCACCAATCAAAATATTTTATTAATACATCTCATCTACTTATTTTAATTTTTAAACTTAAACCCATTAAAAACCCAAATATTTTTTCTATTAATTTTATTTTATTTTTTACCAAACTCAAGCCCAAATAACTAATAACAACAAATAAAAATACATTATTTTATTTTTCACCGAATCCAAACAATAAATAAAAAACAAATAAAAAAAATTAAATCATTGTTTTCTTTTTTTTTGCCAAAACCAAATCCAAATAATAAATAACAACAAATAAGTAATAATAAAAAATCTAGCTATCTGTTTGTTTGACATAGACGTATATGATTGAAAAAGTGTAGGCTCGGCATCAACTATGCTTCTATGACAACAACACAAAAAGCCTTATGTTATAAGAAGCTCACACATCACCAAAAATTTGAACCGATAAAAACATAACAATTTCTTAGTTTTTGCGAGAAAACACAATTTCACGTAAGATAATGTAATTTTTGGTTTTTGCAGGAAATTGTAGCTTATTTGTTTTTGTAGGAAAGAGTGATTATGGGCTTGACAAGAAAATGATTTTTTTTTTGGCAGGAATAGACGATTTCTCAGTTTTCGCAGGAAAAATAAATTATTCGATTTTGGCGGGAAAATACATTTTTTTTTTTGGTTTTTGCAGAAAGATGAAATTTTTTGGTTTTTGTGAAAAAACGTAATTTCTCGGCTTTGGTAGAAAAATACAGATTCTCGCGGGAAAATGAAATTTTAGGTTTTAGGTTTGACGAGAAAATGAATTTTTGATTTTGGCGGGATTAGCTGATTTCTCAGTTTAATGGGAAAATGAAATTTTTTTTTGTTTTGACGAGAAATGCGATTTTTCGATTTTTGTAAGAAGATGAAATTTCTATGTGCTAAATTTCCAAGTTAAAGTATGTTTACAGTAACCAAAATTTAATTATTTAACTTTAACTAAAATGGTATTTTAAGAGTTCAAACATAATTTTCTATTTAGTTCTAAATCAATGGCAATTGTTTTGATATGAATTTTATTGATTATAGTTTGGTAGTTTTAGAAACATATGTTATAATAAAATATTTGATAAATAAATAAATTTTATAATTCAAAATAATCATATTAATTAATAAATCTTTTTTTAAATGATATTTTGCTTTATATAATTACAAAGGAGGATCATGTGGCAATTTATTGGAGAAAATATATTACATTTGCCATTAGCATGAAGATACTAAAAATGTATTGCTTTATTCTTATATATTTTATTCATATATATATATATTTATAATTAGTTAGCTAACTAAATTTAATAACAAATTATAATTTAAAAAAATAAAAAAAATAATGTTTATTCAGATTTAAAACATACAAATACATAACTTAAGCTAATAAAAAATAAATATAATACTTATTTACATTATAAAAATAATTTTATTATATTAAAAATATATACAAAATTTAGAAAAATATCATGCAGCATAGCACGGATAAATACCTAGTTTTATCTAATAATATTAACAAAAAGATCACTGCTAGCTTTTAGATTATTACATATAAATACATGGTTTTTGATATCTAATTTAGATATCTCTTTCATGTATTTATATTCTGTAATATTCTTTGGTATTTTTCAGACTTTATCTTCATGGGCTACTTGTAGTGTTGAGGAAGTTGCTTTCACAGGATCTGGGATTCGATTTTTCCAACTCTATGTAAGTATAGATAAAGATATGTGTATACACGAGTTTATAATAAAATATTTTAAAATTTATAATTGAAAATAAAAACAATAAAATCAAAATCGGATATCAAGAAAATAAAACTTAAATTTCAAAATTATGAAATCCATGTTTTCCACTTAGGATCATTAGAAAATAATTTCGAAATTAAAAAATTTTCAAGAGGTATCTTACATGCAAATTCTTGTGGTTAGGCAGCTTGTGAAACGAGCTGAAGAAGCTGGATTCAAAGCGATTGCTCTTACTATCGATGCCCCGAGGCTTGGACGCAGAGAATCCGAAATCAAAAACAGGTTCTAAAACCTCACTCCATCAAAGACAAAATAATTTGTGAGATCTTTTGCTTATCTTGATGGATGTTTTCTTTGCAGATTCGCGCTTCCTCGAGGTCTGACATTGAAGAACTTCTTAGCATTGGATCTTGGAAAAATCGACAAGGTTCTTGGCACAATGATAAGCAGATTAATTCTAAAAGCTCAGTACTTCATAAATTATATTTTTCTTTTCTCTGTCGATAATTGCAGACCAATGCCTTAGGGCTCGCTTCATATGTTGGTGATCTAGAAGATCAGTCACTGAGCTGGAAGGTCAGAATCTGTTACCAGTTGATAATTATTTTTGACTCAGAAACATAATAGTCTTGCTTCTTTTTTCCATGTTTTGTTTACTTTTTCAGGATATAAAATGGCTACAATCTATTACAAACTTGCCAATTCTTGTCAAGGGTGTTATTACAGCTGAGGATAGTAACAATATCTGCATCAATATTTTACTTATTAAAATTCCATAATGTTAAGAAGATTCCTCCTAATCATTCAGAATTTTGGCAGCAAGAATTGCTGTTGAATATGGAGCTGCAGGGATTATAGTTTCTAACCACGGAGGTCGTCAGCTCGAGTATGTCCCTGCAACTATTATGGCCCTCGAGGAGGTTCACCTCTAAAAATGCTTTTACATTAAGAAACTGTTATTGATAGAGCCTTCAGTTTTTTTTTTTTTTTTTTTTTTCCTTTCTCATTCTATGGAAATTTGAATTTGATTTGACCGAGCAAATTCAAAATTTGCAGGTAGTTAAAGCCGTGGAGGGTCGGATTCCGGTGTTTCTTGACGGTGGGGTTCGCCGTGGAACAGATGTCTTTAAAGCATTGGCTCTTGGCGCTTCCGCTGTCTTTGTAAGTTCATTCATCACAACACTCTTCTTAGCTTTTGTAATTTCCCTCTGTTTTCTCTCTTACTTTCTATTCCCTCTCCCTGACTTTTACCACTTTGTCACATTTTGCGCCAAACTTTTTAATTAGTCAAATGAACCCAAGCAAATGACTACATCTCTCATTGCTAGCAATTAAGGCCTGTTGCTAGCATATGAGTACTCTCACGGACACGACGTGTAACACACTCTTACTTGTTCGGTTAGGTCGGGAGGCCGAGTTTGTTCGCGCTAGCAGCGGAGGGAGAGGCCTGAGTGAGGAAGATGCTGCAAATGCTAAGAGACGAGTTCGAGCTGACAATGGCACTTAGTGGCTGCCGTTCGCTAAGAGAGATCAGCCGAAACCACATCAAGACCGATTGGGACTTTCCTCATTACGTCCCGGCCGCCAAGCTATAGGGGGCAACTTATTTACTTCTTCTAATAGTCATAAAATAGGTCATGGAAGGAGAGATAATTTATGATCGAAATTCTCCATTTGAGTAAAATAAATTGCAAATTCAGTATCCAAATGTTAATATCAATAGATTAAATTACTTTTGACCGTTTTAATTTTTTTTGCAAAACAACCCCCTGACTATTCTAAATCTTATTATATTTCCCAATCGAATTTGATGTAGCATAGGACAACAAGAGTGACGTGTGTGAGAAGCAAGCGTGTTAGATGCTAGTTCATCCTCTGTGAACTTAGAGAAGAGAAGTTTCATTGGGCTTTTTGACTTGGAAAGCTTTAATAAGGAAGACTTAAAACGACGTGAATTAATGGTTTGCATGAAAGTTTCCATGAAAGAGACAAATCTAAATCCTAGCATTATTTTCAGATAACGACTTACACGCCATATAGATTAAGGAATTACTCTGTTACATTAACTATGATTGAGGTATATTGCTTCTGAATGCGTTACCAGACAAGTTGAGAATACGCAATCCCTTCAACAATCCAATGGATTTCGGGATCTTCCCACAAAATTTGTTTCTTGAGAAATCAATAGCTTTGAAGTCTTTTCGGATGCGCTCAAATTTTGTATCGACTCCTTTATTCACCATTTCCATTGAACTTTGATAGTAAATAACAGCCATGGTAGATCCCATGTACGCACCATCTTCTTCAGTTACATTGGCCATTTCACGCCAGTTGGAGAAATAGAAAGGCGGCAAAGTTCCAGTGAAGTCGTTGTGTGATATATCGATAACTTTTAGACTTTGAAACCCAATGGACGCACGAGGATGATACAACGGCCCGTAGAATTGGTTTGATCGGAGGATCAAGACTTGTAATGACTGCAGAGAACTTCGCTTCGCCCCAGGCTTTGAAACCCAACCAAGATGGAAACTTGTCTTTGATTCTGTTGCCTTGCACGTTCAAAAATTGCAATTTCCTGCAGTTGATCAATGATTCCGGAAGTTTTCCCTCCAGCTGGTTGCCACTCACGTCAACTAACAGTGAGTCGGTAGCATTGAGAAATAAATCTGGAAGAAGAATTCCACTAAGATTGTTGTTTTGCAATTTCAGTGTTTGGAGACGAACAATGGTATTGCTCAAACATTGAGGGATGGAGCCGTTGAAGCTATTGTTGGAAAAATCCAAGAGAAATGTTGGTCTAAGCTTGCATATCCAATGTGGTAATGGTCCTCCGAAAGAATTTGAACTAATATCCAACTCCCAGATATTGGAAACTTCTGATGATTCTTCAAATTTGCTGAAAGAGTTGTGAGAAACCTTCAACTGCATCACGCCACCTAACCAACCTGGTATTTCGCCTTCCAGCTTATTGTTGGAAAGATCAAGAAGATCGAGTTTGACTAACTTTGAGAAACATTTGGGGATTGGTCCAGTGAGCTTGTTGTTGCTAAGATAGAAAGTATTGAGGTTGACCAACTTTGAAATATAACTGGGTATTAGCCCAAAGTTGTTGTTGGAAAGATCGAGAAATTCGAGATTGACTAACTTTGAGATAGATCTGGGAACTGGCCCAAAGAATTTGTTGTTGGAAAGATCAAGAGTAGAGAGGTTGACTAACTTTGAGATAGAATTGGGGATTGGCCCAAACAAGTGGTTGTTGGAAAGATCAAGAGTAGAGAGGTGGACTAACTTTGAGATAGATCTAGGGATTGGCCCAGTGAAATTGTTGTTCCCAAGATCTAAAACTTCTAGATTGAAATTTTTTGATATATATTTGGGGATAGAGCCATCGAATATGTTTCCATTAAGGTATATAATCTGAAGCTTAGGGGAGGAAGATGCATTCCTAAATTCTATAGGTCCCTTCAACTGGTTTCTCATCAAACTAACCCATGTTAACGAAGGACTCATAAACAAGGATGTAGGAAAAGACCCGGAAAATGAGTTTCCGCCCACATCAAAACACCACAAGTTGTGGAATCGACTCATGTCAGGCAAAAGCGTGGAATTAAATAGATTATTTCTAATGTTTAAGATGGACAAACTGGTTAGGTTTAGGAGAATAAGAGGGAAATTTTCACCAGTGAATTGATTTTCTGAGATGCCTAAAGAGGATAGTTTGGTAAGGTTTGCAAATGCAAAAGGAATATTTCCACTAAACTGGTTGTCGCCAAGCAATAGGTTTTTTAGTTGGGTTAGGAATCTGATTGAAGCCGGAACTTCACCTACTAAATGATTACCCCAAAGTTCAAGATCTGTGAGATGAGAAAGGTTTCCTAATGAAGATGGAATCTCTCCATAGAGATCACAATTTTCAAGAGTTAGGTTACGAAGATGATGGAGTTTGAAAAGAGCACTATTTGGTTTCAAAGAGTTGTTGAGAGGGATGTAACTAAGGTTAAGTGAAATCACCTTGCCCGATTTAGCATCGCATGTGACACCTCTCCAAGAACTGCAATCACTAATCTTGTTCCATGAACTTAAAGATGGATTTGAGTGGGATTCATTTACCGGAAACTCGTGTTTGAACTCAAGAAGAGCATCCCTTTGGTCATGACGGCAAGAGTGTCGGAGCATAGGAGAAGCAAGATTGTGTACAACGAGGGATACCAAAAGAGAGAAATACAACAAGGTCACAATACCAGAAAGGAATAAGATTTGCTTGAAATCATCATTACCCTCCCTTCTTTTTTATGTTTATTTTGTGCCTGTGTGGAAATGATGTGATTATTGCTTATGCAGCTCTTTTTATAAAGAAAATAAAAACTCAATTTGTCCTTGACTTTTGGTAAGTCCTGCGTCAAGTCGTCGAATAAGGTTAATTTTGTTGTTTTCCAATCCTCTCTAGACTCCAGCATCAGTGATTTGTGCTTCAAAATTTTGCACATAGACCGCATCCGTGATTGATTGACTCAAGTCTTCGGATCCGGTTGGTTGATTGACTCAAGTCTTCGAATCCGGTTCTTTTTGCTAATCATGCATTTTTGGGGGGTTAATCAGCGAGAGTAGTCATTTGCAGCAATGGGATATAATCATGCATTTGTTTGGGCTAATTAATCTTTTTGGGCAAAATTGCTTGTAGTGTGGATTAGTTGATCAGTGAGAGTAGTATACAATGGTGAAAACTTTTTTATGTGTCAAAGTTATCCCAAACAAATGCATGATTATATCCCATTACTGCAAATGACTATACTCTCACTGATCATATGATAATCACCACGTGATTTTCATTGCTTGTTTAATTTTTTAGCAGCAAATCTTAATTACTTGTTTGATTAGGTTGGGAGGCCGAGTTTCTTCTCGCTTGCAGTTGCAGCAGACGGAAAAGCGGTGTGAGGAAGATGATGCAATCATGCAAATGCATGATTATCTCTGCAAACACTGGCAATGGCACTAATTAGTGGTTGCCGTTCACTAAAAATAGATTAGTCGAACCACATCAAGGCCGACTGGGACATTCCTCATTACATCCCGCCCAAGTTATAGGGAATTTTATATATTCTCACTCCTTTTAGTATTAAGACCAAAAGATTTATTTTCACTTTACCGTTTGCTAAATGCATCGTATATGTTTTTGTTCTTATTAACGTATGCGATTTTTTTACGTGTTTCATTACTGTGCGTAATATCTTAAGAGAGTACAATTTACAGTTTACGAATTATAGATGCAAGATGTATACATATGAATAAGAAAACATCACTTGCGTTTACATTGTGCAATGCAAAAATGTATGATAAGATTGATAGTAATCCACATGTAATTGGAAAATATAAAATTGTGTTTTAGACAATCAATATATCGTCATTACTTATAGTAAAAGGTACTTTTTCAAAAAAAAAAACTATAAAACAATAAACTTGCTATAAGTATATATGTGATAAAATCATAATTAGTTTTTAATGGTAGTTATTTTTGTATAGTATAGAAAAATATATAGCAAAATTGCTCCATAAACCCCAAACAGTGGCCTATCAATCTAGAACATATTTGTTTTTATGGGGGAAGATTTAACTTTCTTATTAAATTAAAAAAAAGTTGTTATTGTCAAATTATTTATGATATTATATAAGAATATTATTTATTTAATGATTTTAATATATTACATTCTTTCAATATAAAAACACAATTACATAGACCTGAAAATATGAAAAGATCACCTGGAAAACTCAATAAAAAGGTTTGAGAAAAATATTTAAATAAAAAATTAAGTTCGGGAAGTGGTGAAAGAAATTGTTAACTGGACAATTCTATGGAAAAAAAGCCAATAAAAAAGGTTAAACATAACAAAAATGAACAATTCGAGACGTTTCTGATTTGGAATTATATATAATATATGGAACAGAACAGAACTGATGAAGTTAATATATGGGTGTACCTTCCCTGTATGACTATTTGTGTTGGATGACGAGTGACGACCATAAATAAAATAACAATTTAAATTGGTCCAAATTATTTGGATGAAATCGAAAATGTTTCAACGTGGTTGCATTAACCATGCAACGTTTGTAAAAACCACGAGGTCCATGACCTCATCATCATACATTCATCTGACAATCCCACCGATAGTGTCCATATATCTAGACATATATACGTACGTCCGTATATCGATTTATACGCTTTTTGCAAATATAGTGGCTATATAGTACTAACTAGCTATGCTATTATACATACGTGGCTTCACTTAATACCACGACTTCATGTCCATCATATATAAATTTCGAAATCTATGGATTATTTCAACAGTCTCCTGCTGGTTTCGGGTGTTTTCTATATATATATATACGTACGAGAAATCTACATTTGATTTTATGTTCGTCATTTCTACTGTTTCGTCATTGCGCTAGTCATCTTTTATAGTTGTACAGCTAAGTTTCTACTTCCCTGTAATCATATTCCTACACAGAGTCAATGCATGCATGAACGCAAAATGATCCTAATCAGGACCCATATATATATTAACTATTTATATATACTACATATAATGACAAAGAATTTTTTTTCACGTGAAGTCTAAAAACAACAGAATCGCATAGTAATTATGTCATATCGCATATTATTAACAAAATCACAACCACAGTGTTTGTGTGGAACTGTTATTAGTAAATAAAGTATAAAACATAATTTTTAATGATTTCTTTGTGTGAAATGTGTGACACTTTTGACTTTTTTTTCTGATTATGAAATGGAGGCAGTAACTGAAAGTTTCTGAACTGAAACGGAGAGAGTAACTGTTACGTTACGAAAATATTTCTCTACGACGCACGTCCAGATAAAGGCATATTATTATCTAACCATTCGTCAACAAATGGCAAAAAATGTTAGGATAGTCTGATAATCTTTTGAAACCCATCTAATTTTTCTAATTTATCAAATCATTAAAAGGTACAAAAATTACTGATTATAGTGGATCCACGACCACGAGTTCACTCGAATCCACAAATGTGCCATGAAACCCGTACGGTACCCTAGATGGTAGCTTAACCGTAGCTTCAAGCTTTAAATCAACGGCGTTTAGAATCTGAAGTTCCGACGCCTCTGTTTCTTCGTCGTGAACGTGACAGAAAATATAACCGTCATCTTCATTCTCTCCTCCGTCACCGTTAGCGGATCCATTAGGCAAGAAAAACGGTTCGCCGCCGTATTTCTCGTCGCCGTAAACATACTTTTTTATTTCTCCGGTGAAAAGATCAACCTTTGCGAAACCGGAGACTTTTGGCCAAGGATCAGCGATAGCCAGAAACGCGAACCGGGTTTGTCTGCCCAACCGGTTTCGGTTAACCATACCGATTTCTAAATTCACGTCATCGTGAACCAGCAACGCGCGGCGCGTGGATTCACGTGTCCTGAGGTTTATCCTGATCTCTGTCAAGACGCTTTTCACGCTCTCGTCTCTCTCGTTGAAGATAGAATCCGCCGGCGACATACACGATCCGATCACCACAACTTCCTCCGTCTCCGGCGATTCCCACGCGTTCCAGAGATGGAAACAGAATGTCTCCGGCGAATTCACCCAGATTATCTCAGAAGCCTCCGTCGCGTCTTTTGGCATTATCCCAAATCTTGGAACCTTTTCCCCGTCGAAAATCACCGGAGATTTTCCGGCAATCATTTCTCCGAGTTTAAACACGACTTGCTGATCGGGAATCACCACGAAATTCTCCGTTATAGCGAAATCGTGAATCATTGTCGGAGTCTCGAGCGGAATCTCCAAGTCCGGCGATTTAACGCCGTCCGGCGTGAATCTGAAGTATTTCAGGTGTGGTTTCTTCACTACGTCGTAGCTTAGCGCGTGGAGCTCCTTCGTAACCGGGTCAAGTTTCGGGTGGGCTATCATCGCCGATTTTAACTGACCGTCGAAATCGTAACGCCCAACCGTTTGGAGATCGCCGGTTTGCGTTATTTTCAGTTGGTATGGCAAATCATCTTCGGACATAGCTAAAAGGCGGTTATTGAAGTAAACCAAACCGGCGTTTGCTACTCCGACGCCGTTTTGGTTATTGATGAGCCTACAAAGCCCACGTGCGTAAAAAAGCATCAGACGTGCGATCCCCGAGTGGCCGTGGAGCTCGCCGATTGCTTTAGGGAAAACCGGTCGACCCAATCGTGTTTCTTGAACCAATCTCTCGGTTTTAGTAAACCGGCACGCGTAGCTAGCTGAACCGTTGGTTATTTTAACGGCGTGAACCATTCCGTCACCGTCGAATAGATGGTGCCCAGCGATTGGCTTGAACATTGGATTTGCGCCGTTACGGACATAAACTCCGTCAATGCAGTCAGGGATTGTTCCTTCGACGGAGAGAAATCGTTGGACGGGAGATTCCGGTACCGGAGAATAGTTCCCGGCGATCTGAACGCGTGGATCGGCGGTTTTGGGAAGAAGAGTATCTTGCTCGCGTGAGATCAACGCTCGCTCGGCCGCGTCGATAGCAATCGCCGCCGCTTTCTGAAAGATGTTTAGCTTGAGAGGATTATGCTGCGGCGGCGTCGCGGTGGTTCTGGGTGTAAATAAAGGCCGTTTCAGGGGTAATTCCGTTACGTCGACTTGCACCGTGCATTTAATCTTCGGCTGTCTTTTAACGGGCCTAAAACCTAAATCAATTTGGGCTTGAGGCCATGTTTTAGTACCACTCATCGACATTGTAAGCAGAGATACCATGGCTTTTGTTTTGATCTTGGTTAGAACTTTGAGACACTGATTGTATCTTGTTTCTGGTCTGAAGACTGAGAGCGAGAGGGAGGGAGAGAGAGAGAGAGAGAAGAGAGGAAAAGAAAGGAAAGTTCGATGATAAGAGAAACAAGAAAGAGAAACTATATATAGAGGATGAGAGAGAGAGAGAATGTTATTAAGTTTAAAATTAACGTTATATTAATAATTTAAAAACTAAACATTTGGAGAAAATCTTTCAAAACCTCACTGTCATTAAGTCAAATTTCTTATTGGGAAATAAATCTTTCTTTTTTCTGAAAATAAAAAGTTGTTTGCAAATGAAATAAACGTTAACAGAATAACTTTTTGAATACCAAAAAAAGTATTTCATCCGTTACAAAAAGTATGATATTTTGACATATTTACATAAATTAAGAAACAATTACTTTTTAGTCATCTATACTAAATAAAAAGATCTGTTTAAAGTTCCTTAAGCCATCCACATCAGCTTCTAAAACCTTTCTAAAATAGTGCCACCTCAGCATTACAAATTACAAATTACAAACAAGTGAATAATAATATAACATGATCTAAGATATTGTAATCTATTTTAGTTCCTGCCAATAAAAAATTTACATTGATAGCTAACATTAAAACCATATCAACAAGTGTTTAATATTAATTACTGTTTCTTCTTTCGTAACTGCAGCAAAGTGGAGAGTCCTCAACTTTAAAACTCTACTATGTATTGCATTCCAATTCATCTGAAAAACATACAAAATATAAAATTGGTTTATAGGCTTCAGAGATAGTTTAGAGAATCTAAAAAGTGGATCTAAAAGGTGAATCTATATATTCTTTCAATTTTTGTAAGCATTTCCTTTCCAATCCTTTTCATATTTTAAAATACTGGTGGGGATTTCTGTTTCATGATAAGATAAAAGTTTGTAGATTAAAGAAAAGAAATCAGCAAAATAAACGCTGGAGAAAACAAACAAAAGTAGTGGGTAGCAAAATCAGCCAAATAAATGAAAATTAAAGAAAAAAAAAATAGAAGACACATGTAATTAAGCATGAAAAAGGTTAGCCTCTATCTTTACTCTTCATTCGCCAGATTAATACAGTTCTTTCATGCTATAATTGTCATCTCTATTTTTATGTTCGTAGTGTTCTAACATAATGGAGAATTGATGGATACATACATAGTGGAGTACGTATGGAGAACTAACATCCAAGTGAAGAGAAGAATAAAAAAAAAGTGTATTTTACAAAGCTTTATTACGTTGGTTTTGGAACAGAAGAAAGCAAAAAAGTGGTGTGGAGAGTTCACTGTTTGGCCTGCATGTTTGATTTGTAAGTTCTCTACCATTGTCTATTCTGAAGTGTTTCATTGTTTTCTATTTATTATAATTTAGAAACAAACAAATGGTAGTTCTATATATTCTGTATTCATTTATACTGACTATTTGATTTCACTAAAGTCTCTGGATTCAGAACCCTGAAAAATATAATGAGATAAGGACAATATTAGAGAAAGACCAATATATAAAGAAAACGACTGTGGGAGGATGGCAACGAGTTCCACAGGAACAATATGTAGTAGCACAAAGGACGCGTGGTCTACATCAACCATGCAATGTTTCACTCGGTTTTGCTAAGCTTTTGCATATACCATTTTTGGTATCACCAGTTTTACAAGATTCCACCATTAGAGGAGATGGAAGAACAAAAATTAGAACCCACGGAAAATACAGAGATACCAGAAAACTGGTTTTCCATACCAATATAAAACGTAGGTTGGTAATGCGGGAGGACATTATCAAGCTGCTGCGAGATATCTGAAAAAAAGTATTATACTTTCTATAATCGAAGAACTGTATTATACAATTTTTTTATATCAAAACTGTAAAATAAGATAGATACTTTCAAAGACACCAAATATAAATAGATACAAAATTTTCATTTTATATTTTATATCAAGATAATAACCTTAATATAAACGCATCATTTTCTAATCTAGATCATTTGCCAAATAAGCTTTTGAATAGAATGTCTAACCCAAAATTAAACATAATCAATATAAAATAAGTAGCTCATAAAAATACACAACTAGCTGAAATATAGATTTCTCAACAAATTAGATAATTACACTTACAAATAATCAAAATACAAACATTTTTTTAATTTGAGCTTACATTTCTTTATTTAATTCTCATAATTTTAAATCTTATATAATTCATATTAAAAATAAAATTATAATTTACAATCCGCGCGTAGCACGGAACAATCCCTAGTTAATATATTACTTTTTCATAATCATTATCTTTTTGTAATTTTTAACTAATAACAATTTAAAAATTTAAATTATTGTAATTACTTTTCTTGAAATCTACAAAAAGTATATTTAATAATATATTTTTTGTTTAACACTGATTTATTAATCTATTTCAAATTATGAGAACTGTTATATCAACGATTCTACAATAGTCAACTCTATGGTCTTATGAAGATCCACGACTAACGGTTTTACGTACACACTGCATCCTGCACCACGCTTACCATCATCATGTTTGCCTCCATTAATTTGTATTATTCTTTTATTAATCTGCATAATTAAAAATAAATCATGTTCTCTGAGATTTGAAACTCATACCTCCTAGTGTAAAAACATTAATAAATTTTTATTAAACTATTGGACTAATGGAGGTTCCACTATTTAATAATCTAAAACATCAATCTTTGTGGAACAAAAAAATCTAAAAAATCAATCTTTTAAGAACGCTGGTAGTAACTTTTTGAATATATTTGAAAATACGTAAATAATGACTTTGATGCCAAATTTTAAATTGGGATCGTGACTATATTAGGGAAAAATATTTGTTTGATATTTTAATTAGAAAAAAAATCTTCTGTTGAAAGATTTTTGTTTGTTTGAATCAAGTATAATTTCTTATTTCTTAAATATCACTAAAATAGTTATAAATAAATTAAAGAAACATTGAATTGAAGTTTTCATTCAAAATGAAACAAATCTAATTGATATTATTACTCAAAATATGCAAATAATAATGTTAAGTTTAAACTTTCTTCTTTCACATAAATAGGTCACATTCTATATATACACTTGAAGATGCTGAGACTCTGATGACTGAGAATACCTATTAGACCAGCACCAGACTAAATAAAACAAACTAATTTTATAACTGGATATTAGTATGTGTAGTTAAACCTAGGACCAAAACCTAGGATAATTATTTACGCCCGACATTAATTTAACCTTCCGGCTCAGCAGCCTCTCCGACTGGCAAGACACATTGGTACATCTCACTACTACTCGACACAACCAAATGGTCTATATTCTCCTCATGTTGGTATTTCAAACAACAACGTGGAGTAATACATAATGTTCCTTTTCTCGAATAAATGAAAGTATAAACTACTCCTACAATTTATTATCGAAAGAGTCTAATTATTAGAGAAAAACTGACGTAGTTACACTAGGCTATAAAACTCTATGCCATCATCGAATTTGACTAGAAAACTGCAACAAAAGTGAGTAAAAGTAGGCAGAAACAGGATGACTGTTAGCTAGTCGCAGAAAGTTTTTGAATGCTGCTAGCTAGATCCAATTGTTAGTACGTGTCCAAAATCTTAAATAAACAAGTATTTTAAATACGTTGAGGTGGTAATTTATATGAATTAAATAATGATTTTGGTTTTGCCAAGAAAAAATAGTGTTATTTTAACCTGTCAATTTTAGACTTCGGTATCTACCTATTGAGATAAAGATGACTAGAAAGTATTTTGATTGGCAAGATCGAAAACTAATTCGAGAGTGGTTAATAATATTAAGGCAGGTAAGATATAAGCAAATCCATAAATATATATATACGCGTATTATGGTTTGACCATCCAAGCAATTATCAACATTTGATCATGATCATTCTTTTACGTCACTGACCAACTCATTCAAACTCTCACAATTCATAGACCACTAGAAAAATAAGTATCTTCAATAACTAATGAGAAGGTTAGAAGAGTAACTCATTGAAACATGTTCATTGCTGATTAACAAGATAATCATTGAAATATAAAAATTCGCATCAACATAATTTCCGATTATCGTTCTAACGTTTTGAACCAAAGGTTGTCCTTGTCACTGAAATTTCCATATATATCAAAAAACATACGGTAGTAGTAGCTAGTAATTCCATAAGTAAGTGTAATTCTTGTTTCAGGCATGATTTAATATCATGTAAAATAGTGTTCTTTAAAACAACAAAAAATCTTATATATACAATTTTCCAATTAAATCATACATACAGTATCTTTTTGAACTCGTCAGTTGAATTTACGAAAAATACAAAGTTATAGATACAAAAGCCTTTTTGGTCATACCAGATAATGAATTTCTTAAATCCAACAACATACCATTTGAAAAAATAAGTTGCAATATTATTTGATTTTGAAAACTTTTTTACTATTAATAATGCGTCATTTAGTTTTGGTTTTACATTGTATACTATTCAAATTCCACAAACTGAAAACACTCGTTAAACCATTTCAGAAATTAGCATATTTGTAATTAAAAATCAAATATATATTCAAAAAGGCGAAAGATACTTGAGAATTGATTGTTTGAAATATCCACCGACCTCGTCAAAAAGAAAACTTTTCCAAACTTGAAGGGGCCCTGACTTTTTTAGAATGGGGAACCCATATTCTTTATGTAGTTAGGTTCCGTTAGAGAAAAACATAATTTATTTAGCCAGAAGTAATTACTAATATTATAATTCAATAGTCTATCGCTTGAGATATACGCTATATAGCTATAATATATGAATAGTAATCGTTACTCAAAATGACAATATGAATTTCATTAGTAAAGTGCTAAAAGGATTAGCTAGACCTTATATATGATAATTCTATCGTACACGAACAACAGATTAATCTAATTAAACTTAAGTGAATGATCCAAGGAGAAACATTCTCAGTAATAATTTTTAGTTTTGAAGATTGCTTTTTCGATTATTATGTAAACTTGTCGCAAGATAGTGGAGATGTTGTTGACTAAAGAACCGACTTGTGTGGTTGAAAAGATGCAAAAGAAAATATGTTATAATAACTGAATCCTAATATATATATATATATATATATATATTTTTTTTTTTTTAGGGAGAAAAATTATTATTACAATTCCATGACAAAATGTCGTCTGTTTGTAATAAGATAGTAAGACACATTATACACGCACGCATATATATATATGTAGACATTGGTAGGTATATCTGCATATATACATATGCTGATATGCGCACACATATAAGAATAATATTGAAGACTATTATGATAAGACTGCCAAAATTAATTGCCTTCATCTGGGGAGAAAGGGTCCGTGTGTTCCTAAAGGAAACAATGATGGTATACTTAAATATTCTTATGATCAAACAACTTTAATTAAGACTATCACTAAGTGATGGAAATAAGTTAGATTTTAGAACAGAATATCAATCTTGAGAATATATATTCGTGTGTGTCTCAACCAACAAATTTATCGTACAGGCATGAGAAAAACGAATAGAATAGACAAAAAAAAAGTAAAAAACAAACACATATTTACGTGGTTTACCCACGTTGTGTAGACTGGGTAAACAAAAACTGATTTTACTTATAATGGCAGAAAAATTAGAATACAATTAAAGAGAACATAAATATATATTCTCAGTTCACTGGATTTGCAAACCTAAGTTCAAATAAAGAATCTAAGCTGAAACTGCGATATTTATATTAAGAATTAAACTTCTGCGCGCAACTTCAAACAACATATGATTTGTCAAGACATATATATTCATATATTTAGTTTTAAAAAAAAGATATATACTGGTTGACAAAATAATTGACTATAAATCCAAAAATTTTAGAGTTCAAATTTAGATGCAATCAATTTAAATCAGGCTATTTGACCTCCAGTCGTACTTAGGGGATGACTGATTTAGCCGCTACTAGCCGCAAACACAGCATTTACGGCTGGTAGCGGTTGTAGTGGTTGATAGCGTTTTGTAACAATCACAGTAACCGCTTCGTACCGCTTTGTACCGTTTTAAACTGCTGAAAATCAAAAGCTTCTTTCCTCAAGCGTTTGCGGTAGCGAAACGTTTGTGGCTGAAAAAATATATTAATAATAGCAATAACTATAAATTAGGGCATCGACTCCTAAACTTATATATTTTGTCGTCTTCATAAAAATCTATATCTTTTGTCTTCTTCATAAAAATCTACCTAAATTTATATTCTTCACCGTCTTCATAAAAATCATGGTTTCAATACACACCGAAGAAAAGCCAAGATTCAAACATAAGTACTGTTTTCTTTTAATGGTCATTATGATTCTCTGCCTTTTTTTATTCTCTTTCTTTCTCAGTTTTAACAGTTTTGAATCTATAGTTTTTCACTCATATATGTTTAGATATTTTGGTATTTAGATATGTGTTTACATTGATTTTCAAATAGATACTCCAATGGTCGGACGAGATGACCCGTTTGTTGTTGGACTTGATAACTTTACAAAAACAAGCTGAGAATTCCAAAGGCAAAAGTTTGAGTGAGCAGGGAAAACAAAATGTTCTCACATAATTTTAAAAGATGTTTCCTATTACCCTAAATTGGAACAAAGTTAAGAACAAGCTAGACAATTTAAAGAAGCAGTATGAACTCTATCGTAAAATCACGTTTGGAGCAATTGGTCTTGGATTTAATCCCAAAACAGGAAGTTTTGATGCACCAAAGCATTGGTGGATAGACAAAATCAAAGTAAATATATGTTCATTATATCAAGCTTCTGTTTCGTATATCCGTTTTGAATGATTTTTTTTTTTTTGGTTTCTAAGGCTTATCGCGAAGCTTCGAAACTTCGCTCGAATCCACTACGATGCATTCCGCTTCTTCATGTGGTTTTCGGAGATTAAAATGTCGTGGTTGAGGAGTCATGGCAACCAAGACGTGGTGCACACTCTCGTGCTCCACCAGAAGACTTAAGTGAAAATGAGAGCCTGAACAACAATGCAGATGAAAGAGAAGATCCAACTCAGAATGATTTTCTGCATCCTGGAGAATTGTGCTTTTGTGTTTGCATTTATGACAATGAGTATCTACTTCTGTTTTGGATTTAGTTTAGTTATCGTTGGTTTATTTTCATGGGAATTGTGCTTTCTTGTTTGCATTTTATTTATGACAATGAGTATCTAATTCAGTTTTGAAATCATTTTGCTGGACGTAGACCGACTACTGTTCGAGAGACATTCAACAAGAGACATTCCTCTCTTCGATCCATAATTGAAAGAACGTTTGGAGTGTGGAAGGAGAAATGGTCTATTTTAGAAGGTAGTGTTCGTTATGATGTGGAGATGCAGAAAAAGATTGTCGCAGCAACTATGGCATTGCATAATTTCATTTGAGATTCTAATTCAGAAGACATTCACTTTAATGCTGCTGAAGGAACTGAGGATTATGATGTTGATCCTGTAGGAAACACGTCTCCTTCTCATAATGATCTTGTGTAGATTTAAATTATAATCCGACAGCTGATGCGTATATGTCAACAGTTAGAGATGCTATAGCGCGAGAGATATGGGATCATCATTAGATAACTCTAGCACTATATTTTATGTTTGCAGTTGTTTCGTTTCACTCTGTTTCGGGAGATGTTTTAGATGGTATGAAAATATGTGGCACCTTTTTCGAGTTTAGCAGCGATTCCTTGAAACATTTCTGCTTTTTGGGATAAGAAGTGAATTAAATTTGAATTTTCTGAATATTTTTTGTTTTTGATTTTCTTATATTACGTAAGAGATGAAGTAAAGAGAAGCGCCAAATGATGATTATGGAAACGGCGGGAAAATATTATAACCCGCGAGATATTTGCTATCATGAAATATTTTTTTTTCCAAATAAATTGGATTTTTATGATATGCTGAATATATAAAGTAGTAGGCATGTTACTATGAAATTTATTTGTTTTTTAAAAATTATTTTGTACTTTATTTATGATCTTTTAATTAATCATTATTAGTTTATATATTTTATATATTATGTTTTCATAGTTTTTTTATTTATATAATTATTTTTTTAAACTGCTGGTGCATTCACTGGTTAACCAGTCAAAAATGTCCCACAAATACACCCGCTCTTAACTATTATATCAATCGTATAAACCGTTGGTAAACGCTGTTAACCGCTACCATCCACTTTCGCAAACTCTCGCAACTACAACCGCAACCGTTGCATTTAAACCAGTGCAGTGCGGGCCCTTAATGACCTACATAAATCATTAAATTGTATAGGTAAATAAATACACCAAGTTCTTCTTATTGGTATTTATGAAAAATGGATCAGATAGACTTTGTCGGAACGAAAGTCAAATGCTTCTAGAAAATTAAATTTCAAATACTCTTTAAAATTTTAAAAACAATATGGACCTTAAGTCCTTAGTCAAACAGAGTCAGAGGGGTAGGGATCCTTCAAGCTTCAACTTTGTATTTTTCTTTTTTTGCCAACACTTCATCATAATGTGTACGTGTATATATATAATTTCTGTTCACATATATATTATCCATTTTTCCTTTAATTAATATGTGATATCTAAATCATTATAGCTTTTTCGTTGAATACATTCGATCGAAATATAATTGAAATACATCTAACAATAAAGGATGCTAAAAACCATTCTCTCTTTTTTGTTCCTTATTTTCTCTGTATATACTGTTACTGTATAAACTATATTCAAAACCCCACGTTGTTCTAGTGTTTAACTTGTTATATCGTACTCAAATTCTTTATTTTCTGATTTCAATAAAAGCAAGGAAAATTTAAAGCCTAATTATGAAAATAACAGGTGCAATGAATTTGGAAGATTTTTTGGGTACATCTATAGAGTTACGTTGAATATCTAAGTCGTGTTTCTTTCGTATCAACTAATAAGTGCTCAGGGAAAGAAGTTTCGCCAATGCACGAAAAAAATAACTAGATTATCTCTATTTTAAGTAAGAAAACAAAAGAATATCTATATATGTTATAAGCGATTTATGACAATAAAACATTCCATCTGACAATTCAAAAAGTTTGGCTAAAAACCACTATCATTGACTTAAACTCTAAAGTTCCAAATCGAGTACTATCTTGGGATTTTATGTGTGCCTTCACGCAAATAAATTAAGTTTCATAGTTTGAGAGGTAATCTGTATTTTAAACATTATATTATTAGATATACTTGATAATATTTTTATTTTCCAAACAAAAAAATTCAAATTGATAAAATCATTGTCCATTTAATAATGTTTCACTCAAAATGAAACAATGCTTAAAGATTAAAAAATTGTGATAATAAATAAATGAATAATGAAAACAGTATTAATTTTCTTAGTCAAATGTCTATTGCGAATCAATTTTTTTTGTTAAAACTATTGCGAATCAATTTATATCGCGTATATAGTGATTGTATCTCAATAATGAATTGAATAGAAACTATAAAATACAATTTATATTTCTATTTGTAGAGATTAGATTATACAATATTATATTTTGACGCATCCACAAGAAACGTGGAATTGTTAAAAATCTAGAGTACTCTCAACTGACTCTTATGTATTCGTATTTTTGTATAGCCTAATATAACTCATATATCCACATTACGGTGTCGGTATCACGGTGTGCCTAGTATAACTTATAAAAGTTATATGACTCGGTGGCATCATCAATACTAAGCTAAATTCCTGATTTACTTTAAAAAATACAACCATCCAAAAACGTTATTTGCTTTCGCTAGACCGTGAGGTATCTAAACAAGAAATCTTGTGTTACTGATTTCTTGTTTTCTTATATCTTAACACATTATTGGCATGTATTATGATGGAACCGAACATAGCTAGTTATTTTTTCTTTTTAATGAAAATATGCTAAAAGTTCATTCTTTGTTCTCTTTATATAATCTACCTTATCTTGACAACGGTGCTCTGTACCATGGCAAACTACTTTATCTTGACAAGCACGACACTGAAGTACTATTAAAATTTATGCAGACGAAATCAAGTCAAAGTTTTCACTAAACCAACCCAAGAACCGAAATCTAAACAGAACATCCACAGCAATCTAATCAAGGACAACGAAAACACAAGGACAATAAAATGGCGAGACCAGAAGATCAGAATCTGAAAGTTCTGTTTTTTTTTTTTTACTCTTTTCTTTCCTGAGATTGGGGAAGAAACTTTCTACAATTGTGTAATTGTTATGATATACAGAGAGAAAATATTTACTGCGTATGGATTCAAGACTTTTTCTCGTTTAGATATGAAGTGAGCATGAAAAATATATGTTTACCTGTTGGAAGAGCTCAATGATTAGAAAGAGTATGGCTTAAAAATTTGTTTTACTTCATAATCCGGAAAATGGCCGCATCGATCTGTAAAGTTGAGTAATTGGGAGGAAAGAAAGTCGTTTGTCTAAGACACTGATTATATTTTAAGCAGTAACAAGACAAATCTTAAATTTTAATAAGCAGTGTGCTAATCTCTTTGGAAATCCGAAAGACCAAAGAACATACAGTTAGAAAGCAAAGGGGAGAAAGAAAAATGACCTTAAACATCCCCTCAAGCTTGTTTGTAAACTGGCTACCACACACTCATTCTTAAGCTACAAGTTGCACTAAAATGCGGGTCAGTGGATGAGAACTTGTCACTAGAGATGAATTTTCTGTGAAGAAGTGATATGACCAGCAAAGTAAGTTAATTATTTTAACCCTAGATAGAGATTATGGATTTTTCAGCATCAACTGAAGCACTCTTTCCTAGCAAGAGTCTCTTTGCAAGATCCTTTTTTTTTGTAGAAAGCTTCAAACACATCTTTACCCTTAGTGATAATAATAAGCTAAAAGTATTTTGAGAAGTCAAACGAATGCAATCAGATTATATTGTAGGTACGTTGGTTAGCTATAGATTTCTCATTTCACAAATCGGGATTTATAGCATGAAAAAGTGAAAGTTACTAGAATATATTTCTCACTAGTTTCTCTGGAGTTCATTAAAAATGGTGATGATCAAAAGGTTTGATTCAAAACAAACAAAAAGGTGACATCGAAACGAAAAGAAAAACAAATATAAAAATACAACTCTGGAATAGCATTACAATGCGTTTTAACCAAACCCAAAGTAAAAGAAAAAAAAATGAGAAAGGATTACAAAGATGGCCACCCGAGTTGGGATATTTTACGGGCGGAGATAGTGAATCTTGAGACAACAAAGACGACCTCTAAAATGAATCGAAACAAATTAAAAAAACAAAATGTCATGTTTCCCTGTTTGTAAGCTACTTTATCTTCACAACGGTGCTCTTCACCATTGCAAAATGGCCGAGGCACACAACATCAAAATTCTTCTAAACAAGAAAAAGAACAAAATGTTTCGTTTCTCTTTTTGAAAACTATTTTATCTTGACAACGGTGTTTTGTACCATGGCAAAGTGGCCGAGACATGGTCTTGTTGTGAAGAATAAGAACATCCTGCCCCTGATTCTTGATCTGACCAGGTTTCAAATACGGGTGTTTCCCAAGCAGACAATCAACATGAACAGTGGTGGAGCAGTAGTCATCGCAAGAATAGAAACCTCCTTTTCTTGAATACACTATTTTGCTTTCGCATATATCACACCAGCCTTGCCTTGTACGGTAAATTTCCTTTTTCCGAAATATGAGGAAATGTTCGTCATGCTTATACCTTGCCTTGTACGGTAAAGTAGCACATCTAAAACATATGATATAATTGCAATCGATGCAAGCTAGTTTTCCCCGATCATTATATTCGTCACCCTCTTCTTGGCATACTTGACATATTGCTGATTTTTCTTCTTCCGGCGTTAAAGCTAAGAATAAGGGATGCTTATGGCCTTCATATTGAAATGGTTCAGAGACCGATGCACACCTGAAATCTAATTCAAAACATATTTCTTCTTTGTAACCCTCATAGAGGAAACCACAACTCAGACGGCAACAAGCATTGCAGAAGAAGTCATCCGAATATTTCATATTGCCAACCTTTAGTGTAAGTGGGCGAGCACACAACGCATGTTGTTTCTTGCGAGGCGCATTGGCACAGGCTTCGTGGAGAATGAAGTCGCATTGATCCATACACAGATAGTAGCTACCTTCGTAGATTGGAAGGATGCACGCTTGACAAAACTTTCCTTCGTCGTAAGCTCCACTGATCCAGAGTCTCATATGATGGCCATGAGCAAAATGGAGTATTATTCCATCACTTATCCTCTGGAATGGCTCAACAATTATCTCAGGCTTTTCAGGTATTCCCTCAAGTTCTTTCCCATCCCATAAGTCCCTTCGCAGTGCGCATTTTGTATGAACAAAATAACCATCACACTTGTTGCAAGAGTAGGCACCATAATTGTGATCGACCTTTCGACGACACACTCCGCAAAACCATTTTCCAGGCGGATGGGAGGAGATAAAGGAGATACGGTGGTGGTGACGAGAGATTCTGATGACATAGGGGTGATAAATACAATCTTGATGGACTACGAAGACACACCGAGCACAGACATACGTTGGAAAATGTTCTTTGATAAGGCCACAAATATCGCACGGTAAGAAATTTTGTTTAGGGAAAAAGGTGAGAGGGTGAAGATGCCTTTTTGGGTGGTCTATAAAAATGGGTATTGGCTTCATCGCACAAACTGGATGCATAATTAACTTGTTGGTAGGGCAATAATAAAGATTTTGAATGATGATTTCTTGACAACAGAAGCAAGGATACTTGTGGATACTAGCTTCGGAACTAGGATAATAATGGTGAAGTTTGAGAGATCGAAAAGGGTAAGAAGGATGTTGGATCTGAAGTGGAGACTCTATGCATTCTTTATGGTACTCTCTATCACATGTGGCACAGATATAATAACCTGTGCCGATCAATGAACTATAGCATAAACCGCATAAAAATCCGTCATCATCATCTGGCATACACTCTTTAAAGAGAGGGAGGAGAGGGAGCTTACAAGTATGATTATAGACGTTGGATCCAATCAAAAACTGGAATTGTTGATCACCGCTCCTTTTGTTAAACATGTAAGGATAAGGAAAATCATCCACCGGGACAAAGTCATTGCCATCAGGATTATTCGACTTTAGGTCAATCCATTCATCACTCCAGCGAAAAGAAGGACAGACGAAAAGAGGAGGGAAGTCGTCGGTGCTGGGGGTCTCCGTTTCTGATAAGAAGTTGAATTTGTGAAATGGTTTTCCATTGATTTCTCCCTCACGAAATCCACCGACTGGGGTCATTGGCTCATAAATGATTTGGTCGTGATGTTCTGCTACTCTTTCTCCACCGGAATCAGTGGTTGTTTCACCGGAAACTATATCTCCACTGGAAACTGTTTCTCCACCCGAATCATTGCTTGTTTCACCGGAAACAGAGGAAGAAGAGGTTTGAGATTTGCCATCGCTTTCTTCCTCACGAATTTCACCGACAGAATTCATTGTCTGAGAAGTGTTTGTGCTGTGATAGTTTTCGAGTCAACGTCTCACATGCCCTTCTGCTCAAATCTGAATCTCAAACAACCATTTAATAAATAAAAATTTATTTTGTAATTATTTTTAATTAAGAAAACCGAGTAAATGTCGCTTTTCTCCTCTATTTTTGCTCAACTACACTAAACTCACTCAAACCCAATTATTTGGGTTGATCTGGAACCGATGTGAGATTCTCTTTCTTCGATTTTGTTTTTTATTAGCTTTTTTAAATATTTTTACTAACGTGTTATATATATTTTATTTTATTAGCTTTTTTAGATAATTTTACTAACGTTTTATATATATTTTTATGATAGGGGAAAATCACCAATTCTTGTTTTTGAATTGTTGTCTCTGTATATCTTCTGATGACAAAAACAGTAAACACAACACCTCAGACGACAAATCTTAAATTTTAATAAATAGTATGCTAATCTCTTTGTAAATCTGAAAGACCAAATAACTTAACTAGAAATTAGAATAATGACCTTAAACATCCCCTCAAGCTTGTTTGTAAACTGGCTACCACACTCATTCTTAAGCTGCAAGTTGCACCAAAAGGCGGGTCAGTGGATAAGAACTTGTCACTAGAGATAAAAACTTCTGTGAGAAAGAGATATGACCAGAAAAGTAAGTTAGTTTTCTTACCTTAGATTTTTAAGCATCAATTGAAGCACTCTTTCCCACCAAGAGTCTCTTTGCAAGATCCTTTTTTTTGTAGAAAGCTTCAAAAACATCTTTACCATTAAACAGAGAAAAACTTCAGAAACATGATTTCTAGATGGTCAAATAGTTGGTTCCCGGACACGGCAATGCCATGCAGCCACACATAAGTATTAAAATGCATAACTGTTTGGACATGGTGGTTGGTGTTTGTTGGCAAAAGAATTAAACTCTGGTACGTGGCGAAGATGAATCAGATGCTCAAACGAATCTTTAAAATAGTATTTCCAACCGATTCATTCTTTTAACAACTCTCTTTCCATATAATGTCAAGAGAAATCTTGAATTCCAATCTTTTTTGATATAGTCATGTATCGATTCAAAAACCTTGGCAAGAATTAGGGCAACTAGGATTTAACCTGCTCGTCCCCGAAGGTAATTTTTTTAAAAAAATTAATTTTAGAAAATGTTGGTCTTGTGAATAAAATTTTAAAAGATGATTTTATGGTTCTACAACATTTTAGCCAAAATATTTAATCTATAAACAATGCTAAGATATTATCAAATATGTATATAAAAAAATAATTCACTCTTAGGCAAACACATACTTAATACAACTCTGTATATTAAGCAACATTTTTACAATTAAGCATGTGTTTACGTGTGCGCAGAGTAAATATTTGTAAGATTAAAATTTATGTTTTTAATATTATTTTTGGATTTTAACAATTGGAGTTCAAAGTCTGAATGGTTAATTGTATATTTTTTTGTTAATCGTATTCATGTTTTTTAGTCAAAAAAATAATATAATAAAAGTGTGTTTGATTTTTAATAAGAAGATAATATATTAATATTTTTTCTTTTTTTTTATCTTCTTCATTATTTTTTTTTGTTGTTCTTCTTCTTTTTTTAAGTTTTTATTAGTGTTCTTCTTCTTTTTCTTTTCTTCATCTTCTTTTTACTAGAGATGTTTCCGCACTGCGCGCAGATTATTTTCATAAATATTTAATTTTATACAGTAAATTAGTTTAATATTAAATAAATATTTTAAATATAATATTTGATTTGCAGTATTTTTGACGTGGTTATACATTGAATTTTTTTAACCTATTTGAAAAATGTATTATAATATAATTTAAAAACTTTCTAACTTGATATATGTGAAAAATAACTGTTAATCTAAAACTTAATATTTCTATATAAACTCGTATAACAGCTTTCAAAATATTATTAAAATTAATTATTTTTAAACTAAATTTGATATATAATTGAATTTAACAACTATAAGTTTTTCTTTATTTAATTTAAAACATTTTTTCATTTTTTATTTTAAATAAAAATAAAATAACTTATCAAACATATGACTAAAACTGAAGCACCTAATTATTGTTCCAATTAATTTGGATTTCTTTTCATTTCAATTATGTACGTGTAATTGTTTTTTTCATTAGCAGTCTCGAATACATAACAACAGTCAATATTTAAAACTCTTACAAATCCTTAAAAGAGCTATTATTCATATAAATAAAAAAAACATTTACATAATATACAAATCCACAATCATATTGATAAACTGCAATTTTGATTTGATTCCTGAAGCATCTGAAAACTATAAAATTTGCAAATGAATAAAGCAAATAATACATATTCAAATATAACTTTATACTAACTCATTCTATTAAACAAAGTATGTCGACTTTTTTAAAACTTAAAAGGTGTAATAGATTCATTTATATTTGGTTTGTAATTTAACTTATATATTGTTACAGCACACATATATTTTGATGAGTCTTTATAAATAAATTAATAATATATATCATATTATTTTTAAAAGAGTTTCTAAACCCAAAAAAATAAATATTAGTTTTCTTACATGTTCATTTTGTAAAGAATTTATTTTTTGTTGATGTTGATGGTTAATGATGTTTCTATGATATTTTCGTTTACATAAAAATGTATATACTATTTTCAAATATAGAAATGTAATATATTAATGTTTAAAATAAAATTATGGATTCGTAGTACATTTTTCTGTAGATGAATTGCGTATATTTTTTTGTAATAAGTAATGTATTAATAAAATCTTATAAGTTTATATTGGTAGAGATAATATACAATTTTGGGTCTATATATGTAAAATACAGTTGTGTTAATTGTTAAAAAATAATTATTTATTTGTTATGTATATACTATGTATGTTTGTAAAAGACGAATGTTTTAAATTTTTTTAAATTGTGAATGTTTTGAGTTTTGTTTTAGAAATTACTATTTTGTAACTTTGTTTCTATTGACTATTATTTAAATTTTTTTGGAGCAATTTGTTTTCTAAAATATTTTATGTGTATTTCAAAAAAAACAAAATGAAAGTTTTTTATTATTGTGTGGACAAACTTCATATATCATAATATTTACTTTATCGATTTTTAGTTTAAATGTGGGATTATTATTAATTTGTGCTGTAAGAATTTAAAATATTAAACATATAACTAATTTTTCTATTTGTTAAAATCAGGTTATATGTCATATATTTTTTCGTTATTACAGTGTATACAATTCAATCAATATTATTGTTGATTAAATACTATTTAAGTTTAAGTATGTTATAAATATATTAAAGAATATTTTTATTAAAAGTCTGCTAATGTGGCATGATTGTAGAGAGTTTTTTTATGCTGATGTGAGTTAGTAAGGAATTTCTTTTTTGTTGATGTGGATGATCAATGATATTTTTCTGACACTTTTACATAAAAGTTTGTATGTTATATTTTAAATATAAATATAATATATTAATGTTTAAAATTGAGTTATGCTAGTCTATTTTTCTGTAAATGTATTGTATATATTTTTATAATAAGTAATTTATTCATAAAGTCTTATAAGTTTATCTTTGTAGTACAATAGACAATTTTGTATCCACTTATGTGAAATACAATTGTGTTAATTTCAAAATTTTATTTATTTATTTGTTATGAATTTATTCTTTATGTTTCTAAAAGATGAACCTTTTAAAATTTTCTAAATTGTGAATATTTAAAAAAACAAATTAGAAATTACTATTTTGTAACCTTCTATCTATTAACTATTATTTAAGTTTTTTTGAGCAATTTCTTTTCCAAAACACTCATTATTTTAGAAAGAAAAAGAGTATATATTAATGCAATAGAATTAAATAATAATTACTTTACTAATTCAAAAATAATATTTTATTTTTATTTAGTTTTTGTAGATAACGATATTAGTTTTAGTGGTTCTATTTATTTATTTTATATGTATTTTTTTAAAAAAAATCTAAAGTGAGCTTTTTATTAATGCTTTCTTGGTGATGTGACAAAATGAGAGAGTGGTTTTAAAAATTTGATGTGGATGGCTTTAGAAGTCCTAAACTTCTCCTTTCATTTAGTATAGATTTTTCTATATTTTTTATTTTTAATTTTTCTTCTACGTTATTCTTCTCCCTTCTTCCTATTTCTTTACTTTTATTATTTTTTTTCTTTGTTTTTTTTTCTTTATTCCTTTTCTTTTTCCTCATTTTTTTCTTGATAACGGGAAGAAATCAATCAGGGCATGTGAACTTAATTTTCTGGATATATGAAGCAATAAGCAAATTTAAGTTCCTAAAAATATTATTTTTTAATTTTTTTTGTATTTTCTATATATTGTTTTGATACAGTTCGAATTAAAAACAAAAAATAAGATAACTCTAAATTTTTAATAAAAAGTAGACCCTTTAATAAGAAGAAAAATAAAATATTAGGCCCCTAATTATAAAAATAACAAAAAATTAGGTATTTAATAATTTAATGAAAATAATAAATTTAATAAATTTTTATATATTTAATAATTAATGAAAATCCAATAACATATTAGGTAAATAACACAGTAAGTAAAGGTTATTCTTTCAATTAGATTCTCTTTTAATATAATAGATGAGAATCATTTTGCAGGACTTTAGTAAAGGTTCTAGGAATGGGGATCTGAGGAACTTGATTGATCTCTCAAGTAATCTTCTCTCTGAATCTGGCAGGTGTTAAATAACTAAAATAAACTATGCAAGTAAAGGACTAATCTGAAACATCTCAATATTGTCCTTATTTAAGAACGTGACATCATCATCCACCTCCTAAGTTGATTTCTTCTATTAGCTGAAAATCATTAGAAAAACAAATATAAGCTTAAGGAACACACTAATAATCATAACCGGATGCGAAGCCCAACACCAACAAATACGTACTAGTTATTATTTTTAGTCATAATAAGCTAAAATTATTTGGAGAAGTCAAAGGAATGCTATCAGATTAAAATGTAGGTACGTTGGTTAGTTATAAATGTCACAACTTTGGATTTAAATCGAAAAAAATCGAAGTTGGTGGAGTTTATTTCTCTCTATTTTCTCTGGAGTTCATTAAAAATGTTTTAAGAACAATGAGCGAATAAGAAAGCTCATGTAGAAACAGTAGAATCGGTGATAAAAGCAAACAAAAAAGGGCGAGATCGAAACGAAAAGAAAACCATATAACGAAAATCATAATTCTGGAAAAATATTACAATGCGTTTTAACTAAACAAAAGAAAAAGAAAAAAAAAATGAGAAATGACTACAATGCGTAACCAATGGCGTAAGACATTTTACCGGCGGAGATAGTAAATTTTGAGACGACGAAGATTGCAAAACGACTGAGGATGTTACTCTTTAAATGCACACATACAAGGTAAAGAACAAAATGTATTGTTTCTCTTTTCGAAAACTAGTTTATCTTGACAACGGTGCTCTTTACCATGGCAAAATGGCCGAGACATGGTCTTGTTGCGAAGAATAAGAACATCCGTCCTCCAATCATACTTGATCAGGCCAGGTTTTATATACGGGTGATTCCCAAGAAGACAATCAACATGAACAGTGGTGGAGCAGTAGTCATCGCAAGAATAAAACTCTCCTTTTCTTGAATATACTATTTTCCTTTCGCATATATCACACCAGCCTTGACCATCATTTCCCTCTTCTTTGTTCCGAAATACTAAAAAATGTTTGTCCTACTTATACCTTGCCTTGTACGGTATAGTAGCACATGTAAAACATATAATATAATTGCATTGGATGCAATTCAGTTTTCGCCCACAATTATTTTCGTCACTTTCTTCTTGGCAGATTTGACATATTGCTGATTTTTCCTCTTCCAGAGTTAAAGCTAAAAACAAGGGATGCTCATGACTTTCATATTGAAATGGTTCATAGATCAAAGCACACCATAAGTCTAATTTGAAACCCCAATTTCTTTCAGGATCCTCATAGACGAAACCACAACTTAGACGGTCACAAGCACGACAATTGAAGTAACCTTGGGCACTCCCCCAACGTTCAATACTGTCAACCTTTAGTGCAAGTGAGTGAGCATTCATGTTGTTTCTTGCAAGGCGCATTGGCACACACTTCATGGAGGATGAAGTCGCATTGATCCATACACGAATAGTAGCTACCCTCGTAGATTGGAAGGATGCACGCTTGACAAAACTTTCCTTCGTCGTAAGCTCCACTGATCTCGAGTTTCAGATGATGGTCATGCGTAAAATGGAGTATTATTCTATCACTTATCCTCTCGAATGGCTCAACAACTATCTCCGGCTCTTCAGGTATTCCCTCTAGTTCTTTTCCATCCCATAGATTTTCTCGCAGTGCGCATTTTGTATGAACAAAATAATCATCACACTTATTGCAAGAGTATGCACCATAATTGTGGTCGACTTTTCGACGACACACTCCGCAAGGCCATTTTCCTGGTGGAAGAGAAGAGGTAAAGGAGATACGGTGGCAATGACGAGATATCCTAATGACATAAGGGTGATAGACACAATCTTCATGGACCACGAAGACACACCGAGCACAAACATACGTGGGATAATGTATTTTAGTAAGGCCACAAACATGGCACGGTAAGAAGTTTTGTTTAGGGAAAAAGGTGAGAGGGTGAAGATGTCTTTTCGGGTGATCTATAACAATGGGTACTGGCTTCATGGCACAAACTTGATCCATGATTAATTTGTTGGTAGGGAAATAATAAACCTTTTAACCAATGTACTGTTTACAACATAAGCAAATCCACTTGTTGACACTCTTGTCCGGAGGATAGTAATGATAAAGTTTGAGAAATAGAAAAGGATAAGAAGGGTGTTGGATCTCAAGTGGACACTCTATGCATTCTTTGTGAAACTTTTTACCACATCTCACACAGATATAATAACCTGTGCTAAGCGCTGAGGTATGGCATAGATCGCAATGATAATCATTATAATGTGTCCTATAGCGTTTATTGTTGCACCAAAAGAGGGGGAGGAGAGGGAGCTTACAAGGATGATCATAGACGTCGGATCCAATCAAAAACTGGAACTGTTGATCACCGCTCCTTTTGTTAAAGAAGTAAGGATAAGGGAAAACATCCGCCGGGAAAACGTGATTGATATCAGGATTATTCGGCCTTAGATTACTCCATGCCTCACTCATACAAAAAGAAGGACAGACATAAAGAGGAGGGAAGTCGTCGGAGCTTGGGGTCTCCGTTTCTGATAAGAAGTTGAATATGTGAAACGGTTTTCCATTGACTTCTCCTTCACGAAATCCACCGATGGGAGTCATTGGCTTATAAATGATTTGCTTGTGATATCCCTCTTTCTCTTTCTCCACCGGAATCAGTGGAGTACTACTATGGAATCCTGTGGTTTTGGTCTACACAATTTCTTCCATGCCATCCAGTGCATTCTCCGTGACTGACCATTTGTGCTCCACCAAAATTGTGCTACCGTGGATGTCAATTTATTGGTGATACTTTTGGGCAGGCGAAAATATGACATGGTAAATGTCGGCATTGCTAATGCTACCGATTTTATTAGCATTTCCTTTCCTCCTTTTAATAGTAACCGTGATGTCCAGCCATTCACCCTTTTTGTTGTCGCTCTATCAAGAAATTAAAAATCTTCGTTTTAGCGCCACCTAAACTCTCTGGTATCCCTAAATAAGTGCCCATCCCCCCAATGTTCAAGATACCAAGTGTGCGGTGTATATCCTCCTTAATTATCGGGTCTACAATATGACCAAATTGGACCAAAGACTTGTCAAAATTAATATGTTGTCCTGACACCATTTCATACTGTTTTAATATACATAATAGAACCTCTGTTTCCTCCTTATTTGCCTTACAAAAAAAAAGGCTGTCATCCGCAAAAAATAGATCTGATATCGATGGGCACGCACGAGCTACCTTCATCCCGGTCAACAGTTTCAATCGTTCCGCCTTTTTCAGGTTAGATATTAAAAGCTCCGTGCATAGAATAAACAGGTATGGAGACAATTGATCCCCTTGTCTTAGACCTCTTTTCGGTACGATATGTCCTCGGGGCTGTCCGTTAATGATTACCTTATATTGTACAGATTTTATGCTCCACATTATCCATGTGATCCATTTTTCTGCAAAACCCATTTTCCTGAGGATGTTTTCAATGAATGGCCATTCTATACGATCATATGCTTTACTCATATCAGTTTTCACCACCATGTATTTTCCTTTACAGGAGTTGTTAGTCCGCAGACCATGAAACATTTCTTGGGCAATTAATATATTATCCGAGATAAGTCTTCCAGTTACAAACGCCAACTGAGTTTCAGAGATGAGTCTAGGAAGTAGACTTCGCAGCCGCTGACATAGACATTTCGAAATGATTTTATATCCTACATTACATAAACTTATTGGTCAAATTTCTGTCATTCGAGTTGGTCTTTCAGTTTTTGATATTAGACAGATATTTGTCATATTCAGTCTTTTATCAAAAACGCCCGATGTGAGAAAATCGTTCACCATCTGTACCACCTCGTATTTAATTATGGGCCATGACTGTTGATAAAAAAGTGCTGTCATTCCATCAGGCCCCGGTACTTTTTATGGATGCATCATAAATAAGGCCGTTCGAACCTCTTCTTCTGTTACCGGCTTTGTCAGCGTGTCATTATCCATTTCTGACACCTCCGGTCTGACCTCTTCTAATGAGTCATCAAACTTAGTAGGTGTCGTAGAGGTAAATAGCTCATCGAAATAGTCAACAGCGACCTTTTCCATACGTTTATCCCCCATCACCCAATCCCCGTCATTGTTATATAAGCCCACTAACCGGTTTACTGTCTGTCGTTGTTTAGTCGTTGCATGGTAGAATTTTGAATTTAGATCCCCATCTCGGTGCCACAAGTTTCGACTTTTTTTGTTGCCAGTACAGCTCCTCATCCTTATATGCCTCCTTTAATTTCTGATTTATGGCAACCAGTTCCTCTTGTGACCGTGAATCATCACATTGAGCTTCCTCTAGTGCCTGTTGTAGGTCATTTATCCTATCTTTCTCGAATGGTCTATTTTCCTTACGCCATTTTGATATTTTATGCCGATAGTTAGCTATTCTATCTACCAACGTAGTATCTACCTGGTTATCCATCTGTCGTCATCCATATGCATTTGACTCCATAAAACCCTCTTTACCGATCCAACGCTTGTCAAACCTAAATTGTTGTCGGCGTTTAAATTTGTTAGCCTGTATTGTGGCCACAATAGGTCGGTGATCAGATCCCACCATGCGCAAATACTCCACAAATGAGTGTGGAAATAAATCATGCCAGTTTTCCGTAGTCAATGCTCTATCTAGTCTACATCGGACTATTTTGCCATTTCTCCGTCCATGCCAAGATAATATATTTCCTTTATTTGGGAAGTCGAGTAAACCAAAATTATCTATCATCACTTTAAAATCAACAAAAGTGGATGGATGTCTTAAATTTCCGTCTTGTTTTTCATGCTTTCCAGTTATTTCATTAAAATCTCCAATTAAAAACCATGGTTCTAACCTATTAACTCTGATTCTTGTAATCCGTTCCCAGACTTGATTTCTGAATTGTCTAACTGGGTTACCATAAATAAAAGATAAACATATTATTTGCCCTTGATAAACAACTTCAATATGTCCTTGCCGAAAAGCAATCTCTTCTGGAATATTTCCATTTTTTCTCTTCAAATCGTGCATTTTTTCCCCAAAAACTGCTACTTTCCTTTAAATCTCAGGATGTTTATCTAGGATTCTTCCTAACTTTCAACCCATTCTTACAGCCACAATCAATACCTTCTCTTGCTTGCGCTAAAAGAATAACCTTATTTCTGCTACTCATGGATAGGATGTTAAGTCAAGTGATGGGATCTATGTCACTGGAAGAAGATGTTCCAATCATCTTGCCGGAAGACGCAAGATACAGTGCGGTTGAGAGAAACAGAAGAAGCCTAATCGGTAGGCTCCTTAACCCAGAAGTTCAAGACATGTCAAGGATGCTACGTACGATGCCCCACATATGGAAGATTTATGAAAGAGTACGAGGCCTGGCACTCACGACAGAAACATTCCAGTTCATTTTCGAATTTGAAACAGACCTGGAGACAGTCATGAAACATGGGATTTGGAATTTCGATGACTGGGGGATGGAAATGGATCGATGGATGGAGCAGCCTCCTCCCAATTTTCTCCAATCTGCACCGGTCTGGTTACGCCTACACAAACTACCGGTGAATTATTTCACTTTGGATACGATCAAGGCGGTGGCGCCTTAGTAGAATACGAACCGGAGAAATCACAAGTGCAACAATACGTCCGGGTATTGGTACTTCTGGACTTGGCGTAACCAGTGCGAGACACAAAGACAATCACCCTCCCTAGAGGCGCCGGAACAGCGATCGTGGAGGTGGTTTATGAGCGTATAAAAAAGAAATGTTGCCACTGCCTGCGTCTCACGCATGAGAAACAGAGATGTCCTCTGTTCAGAGGCCAGAAAAACAGAGAGATAGGTTCCTCCAGCAGACAAAAAGAAGCAGTCATTCAGCCGTCTCTGCCCCGTATACACTACCCCAATCTGGTGGAACAGTTAATGCCATTACTTGCCCCATCGGTACCACCATGGTTTGCACCACGCTCCAATGTGGTGACCCCGGAAGTGTTTGATCAGATGAAGTTATATATGAACTGTTTGGACCCTGCAGAAAAAGTGATTCGTGAACACCGAATGAGAACAACACTGGAGGAATTATCAAGAGATCCTGTGGCTCAGAGATCATACCTGCGACTGGAATCCCCCCCCCCCCCCCCGACACTTACTCATGTCGTAAACGCAACCCCTATTATGGGGACAGAGACACAACGAGACGAGATGGAAACATTAGGAAAGACTTCAGCAAAGCAGGATCAACAGGAGGATCCAAACTCTGCGCCCCAAAGTACGGAGCTACTCAAAGAGAATGCAGAACTACATGAGAGGAATATCGAACGTGAAAGGAAGGCCAAGAACAACCAAGTTATAAACCCCATTGTACCACCAAGTGCTGCCTTGACCACGACAGCAAATTACACCACAACAAGCCTGCAACAGAGCTCTGATCCACGCAATCAGCTAAAGCTTAACTTCTCTCAGAATCAACACATGCAGGAAGAATCTGGATATCACGTACCTCTACCAAACATAGGCGGATTTCATGTTGGTGTAGTAGAGACAAGTACATCAGGCACAAGCGGCAAATATAAATCATCCAAAGCTAAAACTGCCTCATGGTCAAGACAAAAGCGATCCAATCACGGACTACAAAGGCCAGAACAAGAAGGAACGGGGATGCATAACACTACGGAGACTGAAAGCTCCGTGAAACGAAAGGCACTGGAATCGGCAGAGGTGTCGTCAAAGGTTTCGAAACAAGCTGTGGGTTCGGTGGTTCACCAGAAACCATCCAGTTCGAACATATGACGACACTCACTTGGAACTGTCAGGGGTTGAGGAACAACCTGACAGTTCGACGCCTAGAGAGAATGTGTCGTGAACATTCTCCGGATTTCTTGTTTCTCCTAGAGACTAAAAACTCTAGTCATCACGTGTTACAGTTACAGAGATCGTTGGCTTACAATCACAATTATCTGATAAACCCAGTGGGTCTAAGTGGAGGTCTGGTCTTGTTCTGGAAAGATTCATTTATAGTGGATGTTTTATATGGAGATAAGAACATCATTGATACAAAAGTAATGATAGGGAACACGTCGTACTTCATGACCTTTGTCTACGGAGAACCAGTGCGTCAAAATAGGCAAAGAGTATGGGACAGACTTACGGACATTGGTGCGTCCAGAGATGCAGCATGGTTCCTGACCGGAGATTTCAACGAGATGGTGAACAACTCAGAAAAATTAGGAGGTCCAAGTCGAACAGAATCATCATTTTTCCCTTTTCGTTCGCTCATCAGAGACTGTAGAATCAAAGAAATGCCCAGCTCTGGAAACAAATTCTCATGGGGAGGTTGGAGAGAGATTATAAACGGCAATGGAATGCAGGAAAAAGTTTGGATTCAATGCAGACTTGACAGGACTTTTGGTAATGCAGAATGGTTTCGATTATTTCCAAGATCTCATTGTTAGTACCTGCAACGAGTAGGATCAGATCATAGACCGCTGGTCTCATGGATGGTTAAAGAACAGGGGAAGAGAAAGGGACGTTTCCATTTTGACAAGAGATGGTGTGTAAAGCCAGAGGTTGCTGAGATTGTACACAAAGGATGGAACACACTGAATCCACGAAGAGAACAGAAAACGGTGGACAGAATTGTGAACTGCAGAAGAGAATTAGCGAAATGGAAACACAATCCAAGCTCTAGTTCTAACTCACGGCTCAAGTTACAAACGCTGCAACAAGACTTGGATTCAGAGACTGCCAAAACGAACCCAGATCTACGACGGATGACAGATATCAAAATAGAGCTGATTAAAACGCTGCAACAAGAAGAAATTTTCTGGAAGCAAAAAAGCAGAGAGCGATGGTTGAAAGTTGGAGATAAGAACACCAGATTTTTTCATGCAAGCGTTAAATTGAGGAGTATGCGTAACAAGATCACCTCTTTGCTTGATATTAACGGCCTGGAACATTTCTCTGAGGATGCCAAAGGTGATATCGCAGTTTCGTATTTCACTAAGCTGTTCAAATCTTCAAATCCAGAAAATCCCATGGAACTACTGGAAGGTTTCGAGGCTAGAGTAACACAGCGAATGAACCAAGAGCTTATCCAACCTATATCAGATACAGAGATCACAAAAGCAGTCAAGGGAATTAAAGGAGATAGCGCACCAGGTTCAGACGGGATGACAGGCAGATTCTTCCAAAGTTTTTGGGACATTACAGGTCCACAGATCAAGATTGAAGTGAAGAGATTTTTTGAAACCGGCATCCTTCCTGATGACTGGAACCGCACAGAAATATGCTTGCTGCCAAAGAAGCCAAACCCGATTGTAATGACAGACTTAAGGCCAATCAGCTTATGTTCAGTCATATACAAGATCATCTCAAGAATCTTATGCTCAAGACTGAGGCGAGTCCTACCTCAGATCAGCTCTCAGACGCAAGGGGCCTTTGTGGAAGGCAGATTGATATCTGACAACATACTGATCGCACATGAGATGATCCATGGATTAAGTTCGAATGCAAACTGTAGGAGAGAATACATTGCGATCAAAACTGATATGTCGAAGGCATATGACGGAGTTGAATCGAACTTTCTAGAGGAACTCTTCCAACATATGGGCTTTGAACAGAAATGGATCACTTGGGTAATGGCATGCATTCGTTCAGTATCATACACAGTGCTTTTGAATGGTCAACCGCATGGACATATCAAACCTGAACGAGGCATTCGGCAAGGAGACCCATTATCCCCTTTCCTCTTCATCTTGTGTGCTGAAGCCCTCGTACATGTCATGAACAAGACCGAGAAAGATAAGAGGATTACAGGAATGAAGCTAAATAAGAAATGCCCTGCAATACAACATCTCCTTTTTGCTGATGATAGCTTGTTACTATGCAAAGCCTCATTACCAGAATGCTCCTCAATTATAAAATGTCTCAAGCTGTATGGTGATGCATCAGGCCAAGAGATAAACTTCCAAAAATCGGCAGTAACTTATAGAGCGGACATTGATCCGGTGATGAAAACGTTAATTGCAGAACTGTTGGGTATAGAACAAGTGGGCGGTGAAGGAAAGTACCTAGGCCTACCGGAATTTTTCAGCGGATCCAAACAGAATCTTCTAGCCTTCATCAGTGAGAAGCTGCAGAAACGACTGCGAGGTTGGTATGCTAAAACTCTGTCACTTGGAGGGAAAGAAGTTCTTCTTAAATCCGTCGCTATGGCCCTTCCGGTTTATGCCATGTCCTGTTTTCGCCTCACTAAACATCAATATAAGAAGATTACAAGCGCTATGAGGGAATTCTGGTGGAACATGTGTGAGGATAAGAGGAAAATACCCTGGGTTGCATGGAAAGATCTTTGCAAGTCTAAAGCAAATGGTGGGCTAGGATTCAGGGATATCAGAGATTTTAATCAAGCCTTGCTAGCAAAGCAAGCATGGCGCATACTCAATGAGCCAGACTCCCTCCTCTTTCGGCTATATAAAGGGCGGTACTTTCCCTCAAAAAGCTTCATGGAAGGTGGTATTGGCGTGAGACCATCATATGCCTGGCGCAGCATCCTGCATGGCAGAGATCTGCTACAACGTGGTATGATAAAGTCCATTGGGAATGGCAGAGATACAAAGATGTGGTTGGACAAATGGGTCATGGATACAAACCCAAGACGGCCAATGAATAAACAGCGGCTCATGGATTTAGAGCTAAAGGTTGACACACTTATTGAAGAAGATGGGAAGTGGAATGAGTATAAGATCAACGAGTTGTTTCCTCCAGCAGATGTCAAGCGAATCAAGGATCTACCAACTGGCAGTGTAAATGATCGTCTCATTTGGGCCTACACACAACATGGAGCATACACGGTGAAAAGTGGGTACTGGTTTGTGGCCACTCATCCTTTCGTCCCAAAACCACCAAAAACACCAAGATAACAGCTACACATTGAATTGAAAAATCGGATCTGGACAAGCCCCATATCCCCCAAGATCCGTATGTTCTTCTGGAGAGCTATATCTGGTGCTTTGGCGGTCTCAGATAGACTAAGAACAAGAGGCATAAACATAGACACTACATGTCATCTGTGTCAGCAGGGTACCGAGTCGATATGTCATGTCTTGTTCAATTGTCCCACAGCTTTACACTTGTTGTCTGAAGTGGATTTTAAGCTACCTACCAATGGTTTCTCCATGTCTCTGGAAGAAAACATGTCCTATGTTTTGGATCTTATGGAAGACCACTCCATCCCTTTAACCACAAGGCGGGCCATACCCTGGTTTTTCTGGAATATCTGGAAGAAACGAAATGCCATCTTGTATTCCGGAACCCAGGAGCCAAGTTCTATCATTATGAACAGAGCTGTAGAAGAAGCTGAGATCTGGGCAGAAGTTAACAAATCAGAGCCACAACAACCTATAGTCAGAACCGCTGGCATTTGTTTAGATAAACGATGGCACCCTCCAAATCATGAGATGCTAAAATGCAACCTACACGCCAACTGGAGAAACTCAGAACTGCATAGTGTAGGAGCTTGGATTGCAAGGGACCATCGAGGGAACGTCCGTTTTCACGCCCGAGAAGCTTTTACCAACTCTCCTAATCGTATGATTGCAGAACTCAGATGCATCATGTGGGCTATGCAAAGTCTCGCTGATCTTCGCATTAAGGAAGTAGTTATTGCTTCAGATCACCCTGCTGTCATAGAAGCAATTCTGAAACCAACGCTCTGGCCGCGCCTCCGATCCTTCACGGGATACATAAACAGACTGCGTGGAACTTTCAACATATGCGACATGGAGCTAGAGCATCCAAAAGGCAACTCCATCGCTAGAGACATCTCCAAGAGTGTTACTAGGGAAGGATGATTTCAATCATATTTGGCAATGGGGGGACCCTCTTGGTTACATGATCGGCTGCAACGAGAATCTCGCACAGACATCTAAACATCGTTATTTTGGTCTTGATGTCGCATTTAGTTTTCGATACCAGAGTTAGAAGCTCTGTTTCCCTTTGCCTCTGTTACAATCCCTGTTCTATTTTTCTTTCATAAACTATTGGCGTTAAAAAAAAAAAAAACAACTTCAATATCAATCATCCATTTATTAGCAAATATAACTTTGACATCAAATATATCAGAATAAAATAAGGCTAAACCGTCACTCGATCCGCACGATTCAACCATGTACAATTTATTATAATCGAAGTGAAATTGAAATTGTTGAACAAATGAAAAGCAATTTTTGCTTTCTGAAAGAAAAAGAAACTCTGGTTTAAATTTCTTCCAAACCTCCCTCAACTAACTTATTGTGTAAGGGTTACGTAATCCCTGACAATTCCAACTAAGTATCCCCATAAATTAAGTCTCTAGCATATCCATCTTTGGCCTTGTTCCCATGATCATCTTGAGTATCCGCACCTGGACGTCCGGTTATCTTAGCATGACCCTTCTTCCGTGGTGAGATCAGCGCTTCGACGAGACGTTTCTTGGCATTTGCCCCATTAATGCCCACATTAACCTAAGCGCTTTCTTCTTTTGAATTCCGGTCTTTCCCACATGATCAAGCGAAACTCCCCTTTGTTTTTCCTTAAAATTGATATCTCCTACTGTGACACTAGAGTCCAGATCACCGAGGTCAGTTTCAGCATGATTTTCAAACGCACTGGAATTACCTTTCTCTGGAGCCTTCCCCAGGATCTCATTGCCATCGTGTAATTCCATTCCGACAATTGTTCCATCATCAACCCCTGCCATTTTTTCTGTACCATCCATTAAGTTGTTCGTTATGTATTCTGTATATTTCTCCATCCGCTCATGACTCGTATCACTTTCCTGTGTGTCAACCTGTTCCTCAATCAAAATATGCGAGTCCGGATTACTCAAATCATCGGCAAAGGTCATATTGACATCACCAGAGAATAATACTTTCCTAACTTTTTTAACCGAAGGCTTGGGACTTGGTTGATACTCTCGTGCTCGTCGGCTAGTGATGTACTCTGCCGGCTCAATTTGTTTATCCATGTTATCCACCAAATCCTTCCCAGGTTCAAGTTGCGAAACACCAAGATCCCGCTCTTTATTCAGGCGTTGTGTGCCTTCATTAAAATCTCGTGAGGATTGAGCTTTCATAGAGTCCATCTTTTTGAAACCTCTGGATTATGAGTCTCCAAACCTCCGCTCATATCGCTGATTGTCATGACTATAGGTTGTTTGTCGTGAGCCCTCACGGGTGTGCACCTCCACTTGCTTCCCTTTGCCCTTATAACCGACTGTTTGGCCATGTGATTTGAACCGAGAATCAGATTCACGAGGACCATTATTTCCCCTTGTTACAACACCCCTGTAGCTAACCGCATCTATCCCATTCCTTTCATGCTTTCGAGCTCGTTCCTCGGGTACTTCCACTCTTCCCTCTTGTATCAAAAGATATTTTCTCTAAAGAGCGATCAAAGAGGTGTGTAACAGAAAAAATTACAATCACGATTTAGGATATGCGGAGGATTTTGGTTTTCGTCAATGATTTATCTGGGTTAGATTATGCGGTATTTGAGCAGATCGGTGTGCTCTCCTCTATTAATTTTTGGATCTACAATGGATGAAATCTCTATGGATTCGCGGTGGAATCAATCAATATCGGGATGCCTTCAGGAACAGGAAAAAGCAATCAAGAGATCTCACTCATTACTACAGATTTGAGAAGAAGATCTCTGCAAACCGAGATTGGATCAGGGTTATTCTGGAGACGATTGGATGGAGATTCGAAGCATAAGTCAGGGATATTAACGGATGTCCTGGATCCATCAGATCATGAAGGGCTGATCAAATTCAATTGCGGTAATAACTCATATAGATTAATCATCGCTTTCTCGGGTATCTAAGTATGGTATGGAATTTACAAATCATTTTACTCATTTCGTTCTCACAGATTTCACGAGATTCAATCTACACTACAACCTTCGCGCATCTTTCAAAATCGGTTCTCTGATTAGACAGTATCATTTAGAGGAATCCCCATACCTGATTTGGTTAACTGTAAGGGTGTTAAGGATGGATTTTGCGGAATATGCTGGCTTAATTATTGGTTTCTAAAAACGGTGAAACACACGGAAATGTGGGAATTAGAGATTGGATTGATACGATGGGTTTTTGGCTTAATCCGACAGTATTTAACTGGAATGAAAATGGCTTATACACACCATATCAATATCTTTCTCCTTCGCTTTACTCACTTTTGTCTGTCTTTTGGAACTAAAATCCTTCTGACGATTATGTCGCAGAGCACTCTCCTTCAGACAACAGGATCCGGCAAACAGAAAGCGGCGATAACCTCGGGTTTCAAGATTAAGATTCCAAAGTTTGACAACACCAAACTCATTGAGAGTTACTCCAGGACACTCATAGGCCGATGTCTGAATCCGGCGAAGCAAGATGTTAAATCCTTACTTTACCTGCTACCACGCATATAGAAGCTGGAGGAGAAGATTGCCGCTGCAGATTTAGGGCTTGGAAGGTTTCAATTGGATTTTGATGAGGAAGAGGATATCATTGAGGTACTCAAGATGGAACCCTTTCACTTTGACTACTGGATGGTTTCGCTGGTGAGATGGAAGCCAGTGGTAGAGCCAAAGTATATGTCGGCTATCACCTTCTGGATTCGAGTTATGGGCGTCCTTTTACAGTTTTGGGCTGAGCCTACCTTTTAAGGTATTGGAGAAGCCCTCAGAGAAGTCAAGAATGTCGACATTGATGAAGGCAGGGTCCAAGTGGTGCTTGATGGGGAAAACCCACTGATTTTTGACACCATTATAGAGTTCGAAGATACGGTGGAGACAACAATCTCACTCAAATACGAGAGACTCTTTGGCTGCTGTAGGCTGTGTCATAGCATGTGCTATGACCTGTTACTGTTGGGTAATTAATTTAGTATATTAACTTTAAAATTTTTTAAAAAAATCAAAATAAAAACTAAGAAAAATTATAATATTGACACATCAACAAAAATAGTTAATTTCCGGACCAGGCAATGCCACACATAAGTATTACAAGTAAGAAGTGGAGATAAATCTGAACAAAACCAAGATTTTTTCGAGGGTACTCTCTAACTCTTCTTCAGAAGTACCCTTATTCCCAGCACGGAGCTTCTCATCCAAAAACTTGACTGATCTCCAAAAATGGCAGGTGTAAATAATTTAAGAACGTACCATCAAATTCTTACATCCATATTTTAGCTGAAAATCGTTAGGAAATGAAATATAAACTTAGGAACAATATCTTTGTGATGAACTAATCCAGAGCCACACTAATTATCATAACTGGAAGCGAAATCCAACACCAACATATACTGATTATTGTTTTTTTAGTGATAATAAGCTAAAAATATTTGGAGAAGTCAAATGAGTGCTATCAGATTAAATGAGTGCTATCAAATAAAGTTTGTATTTTCTTTTTTTATAGCTTTGGATCACTATTTTAATTAGACCGGGCCTGATTATAGGTAACCAACGTTAGCTATAGATTTCACAAATTGGGATTTAGCATGAAAAAGTCATGGTCACCGGACTTTATTTCTTACTTGGAGTTCATTAAAAGTGGTGATGATCAAAAGTTTTGATTCAAAACAAACAAAAAGGTGATATCAAAACGAAAAAGAAAAACACATATGAAAAAATCACAACTCTGGAATAGCATTACAATGCGTTTTAACCAAACCTAAAGTAAAAGAACAAAAAATGAGAAAGGATTATAAAGATGGCCACCCGACTTGGGATATTTTATCGGCGGAGATAATGAATCTTGAGACAACAAATATGAGAAAACGGCTGAGGATGTCGTTCACTCTCTAAAATGAATCGAAACAAATTAAAAAACAAAATGTCATGTTTCCCTGTTTGTAAACTACTTTATCTTCACAACGGTGCTCTTCACCATTGCAAAATGGCCGAGATGTGGTCTTGTTGTGAAGAATAAGAACACCCCCCCCCCCCCCCCCCCCCCCCCCCCCCCCCCCCCCCCCCCCCCCCCCCCCCCCCATCTAGCTTGACCTGACCAGGTTTCATTTACGGGTCTTTCCCAAGTAAACAATCAACATGAACAGATGCATTGGTACATGCTTTGTGGAGGATGAAGTCGCATTGACCCATACATGAATAATAGCTACCCTCCTAGATTGGAAGGTTGCACGCTTGACATAACTTTCCTTCATCGTAAGCTCCACAGATCTCGAGTTTCAGATGATGGTCATGCGTAAAATGGAGTATTATTCCATCACTTATCCTCTCAAATAGCTCAACAACTATCTCAGGTTCTTCAGGTATTCCATCTAGTTCTTTCCCATCCCATAAGTCTTTTCCCAATGCGTATTTTGTATGAACAAAATAACCATCACACTTGTTGCAATAGTAGGCACCATAATTGTTGTCGACCTTTCGACGACACACTCCGCAGGACCATTCTCCGCAAGGAAGATAGGAGGCGAAGTAGATACGGTGGTGGTGACGAGAGATTCTGATAACATACGGGTGATAGAGACAATCTTTATGGACTACGAAGACACACGGAGCACAAACATATGTCGGAAAATGTTCTCTAATGAGGCCACAAACATCACACGCTAACGAAGTAAACATCAGGTACCTGGCGAAGATTAATCAATTACCCCAAACGATTCATTCTTGGAAAAACTCTCTTCCAATATATTTCGATATGATCATGTATATCGATTCAAAAAATCTTGGAGTGAATTAGAGCAATGAGAGACTCTTCTTGCAGAGTTTTAGTAAAGGTTCTAGGAATGAGGATCGGAGAAACTTGATTGATCTCCCAACTAACTTATTTAGAATTAGAGCAATAACTACATACTAGATCATAACCAGCACCCTGTACAGGGTAAAATAATAATTATTTATTTAATCAAGTATAATTTTAAAATCATATAACAAAATACAATTTAATTTATATGAGTTGTTTATAACATTATGCTGTAATATTGACAAAATATTTTTTCTTGTTTATTTTATGAAATATAAGATAATTTAATTCTAATGTAAATTATTTTAAAAATTAAATATTTATGCACAATCTGGATAGAAATATGAAGTCGCTCTTTATATTTTCTATAACCGATGATTAATAACATGATGTTAAAATTCAAAAAAAAATAAAGGGAGTATATTTTGATTAAATTATTAAGTATCTAATGCATTATGATAATAATAAAAAAATTTACTACTTCCTCTATTTCATAATTTTTTTTAAGGTTTTATTTTGTTTCACAATATATTTGTTTTTTTTTTTTTACTACTTCCTATGAATACTATGTGACCGATTATATTTTTCAGTTTTTCATAATTAGTTGAATTATATTTAATTTATATACTAAATGATTACTTTTTTAAAAAAAAATTACTTTTTAATCTTTGTGTTTTGATGCAAAACATTTTATATTTTGAAATAGAGAGTATTAAAATTGTAAAAATAAAATTTGATTATAAGATTCTATAATCGATTTTAATATTTTTTTTACAAATGTAAATACATATTTAGATTAATCCGCAAAAGCTATAGTCATAAGATTATTAACTTTTAAGAAAAGAAAATTACTGTGAAATTTATTTTAAATACTAAATATACATAAGGATTATATAAAAATAAATTATATTTTTATTATTTTAATACATTATCTAAAATTGTATATAAATGAGTCAATACTTATGCATTCTTAACTTTTTGATTCAATAAAAATATTTTTAATATCAAAAGTTTAATAAAATTATTATATAATATCATTACAAAAATATTTTAATTTTTTACCAAGTTATTTTGTTGTATAAATTAAAAATTTATGATATTTAACTTTTTAATCAAATAAAATATTTATAATATTATATTCTATTAACATATTCAACTACTTTTTTATAGTTGAACTTTTTATTAATATTTTATACTTATTATAAAGTTTAAATATTTATATTATTTGGTTAATTTATATGGTTCTAAAACCATATGAAACCAAAAATAATTATAATAATAAGGGATTCTTGCAAAAATGACCTAAAATTTGATTTGAATTGCAAATCTAACCCACAAAAATCACCTTCCCAATATTTGCCATTTTGTGTCCAAACAATCCTTCATAGTTTCAGTTATTCACGAAATTGCCATTATTTTTAATTAATTTCTTTCATTTTCAGAAATCCAAATGACCAACTAATCCTCATCTTCCTCACTTATTTACGAAAATACTCCGAAAGTAGACTTCCCTCGGTCCGAATGAAGTCTACTAGTCAACGCCCAAGTTAGTTTTGCAATTGACCGCATGAAAAAGTAGACTTCTTTTGGTCCGAATGAAGTCTACTCAATTTCCTTTGATAACAAAAAAATATAGTAGACTTCTCGAGTAGACTTCTTTAAAAGCAGGTCATTTTTGCAATTGACCAACCTTTGACTTTGTAGAGTAGACTTCTCTATGCAAAGTAGACTTCTCCGAGAAGTCTACTTACGGAAGTAGACTTCTCGGAGAAGTCTACTCTGAAAAGTAGACTTCTCCGAGAAGTCTACTTATGGAAGTAGACTTCTCGCAGGTCATTTTTGCAATTGACCAAAAAGTCAAATATTTTGCAATTGCAAAAATGACCTACGAAAAGTCTACTTACGAAAGTAGACTTCTCGGAGAAGTCTACTTTTCATAGAGAAGTCTACTAATATTTTGGCAATTGCAAAACTAACCTGCGAGAAGTCTACTTTTATCCGAAAAGTCTACTTTTCTTGTTTTTAAAAAAAAATAATTTTTATACAATATATAACGAATTTTTAAGATTTTCGTGATCCTAAGCGTCTGTTATTAAGTTTTCTTGCTTATGTATAAGTTTTGCATGTTTATATTTTATAGGTGTAGTCGAATGAGTTTTCATGTTTTATATAATACTTAGCTTATTAAGAGTAGACTTCATCCGACTTTCAGAGAAGTCTACTTATGCAATTTTGATGTCTAATGTGGTTTGGATTTTGTTCTTTTTTCACAAAGAATGGCTCACATACTCGCTGTTTATGGAGAATGGGTTAAGAGTGAATCAGTGTGGCAGTTCAAGGTGGATAATAGCAAAGGAGGGTGAATGTTGTTCTTAAGAGATGGTTGCACACATGGTGAGCTTCTTGGTGAATGTTGGCAAAGGAGGGCGAATAGCAAAGGAGGGTGAATGTTGTCACCTTTAAGTTATGTAAAATTAATGTTTTTAAGAAGTCTACTCGAGACAATGAGAAGTCTACTTCAGAAATCTACTCGAGACAAGAGAAGTCTACTCGGTTGACAAGTTATATGATATAAATGAGAGAAATGTCCCTCTGAATCACTTTTAAGTTATGTAAAATTAATGTCTTTTAGAAGTCTACTCGAGACAGGAGAAGTCTACTCGAGACAACAGAAATCTACTCGGTTGACAAGTTATATGATATAAATGGGAGAAATGTCCCTCTGAATCACTTAAATTAATGTCTTTAAGAAGTCTACTCGAGACAGGAGAAGTCTACTCGAGACAAGAGAAGTCTACTCGGTTGACAAGTTATATGATATAAATGGGAGAAATGTCCCTCTGAATCACTTATAAGTAATGTAAAATTAATGTCTTTAAGAAGTCTACTCGAGACAGGAGAATACTATTTTGTAAAATAGATAAACATAGATAATTTAGGAATTTGATACAAAACATTCAATGCAATTCAACATTACATAGAAAATAACCCTCTAAACAAACAAACATTTAAGGATCACTAATTATAAATCTTAAAATTGGCATAAGAAATGACTAGTAAACTAAAATCTCTGAAAACTATGTATGCAACTGAAGTCTGCTCGAGATCGAGAAGTCTACTCGAGAAGTCTGCTCCAGATCGAGAAGTCTACTCGAGAAGTTTACATTCAGATCTGCAAAAAAATCAACAAAATTCAGCTCTGCAACAATAACGAAAAAATTAGATCTAGAACAAAATCTATAAAATTTATACAACAATAAACTCATATCTACAAATATAAACTTAGATCTACAACAATAAGCTCAAATCTAAACTAATAAGCTCGGATCTATAATAATAATCTACTATATTTATAACATTCAAATATGTACAAAAATCAACAAAATTCAGCTCTGCAGTAATAACAAAAATTAACAAAATCTACAAAATTTACACAACAATAAACTCAGATCTACAAAAATAAACTTAGATCTACAACAATAAGCTCAAATCTATAATAATAATCTCAGATTTGCAATATGAACACAAAGCAAATAAAAAGAGGAACACAAAAGCTCAGATTTGCTTACCACTACCATAACCTGCAAGTGAGAGGAGGTTGAATGCAAGATATAGAGGATGGAGAGGATATTGATAGCAAGAGAGGAAGGAGAAGAAATTCATGGCCAGAGAGAAGGGAGAAGAGAGAGAGAGGCGTTTTTTAGATAGAGAGAGACTTTGTTGTTAATACAATTAGGTTAAACTCTCCTTATATATGTAGGAAAAAATTCGTGTAAGTAGACTTCTCCAAGAAGTCTACTCGAGAAGTCTACTCGAGAAACCGAGAAGTCTACTCGAGAAGTCTCTTAGTATTGATTTTTATCCTAATTTATCTATGATGATTTAAATTGATTATTTTCTGTCAAATTTTATTTTTAATAGGTGTAAAAAGTATATATTTGTTGTTATGTATCTAATTTTTTTTATTAAATTATCTTTTATGATTTTTAAAATTAATTGTAAACATATTATTAAAGAGTAGACTTCTTGGAGAAGTCTACTTAACTTCTCGAGTAGACTTCTCTGGGATAAAATTGTAATTGAGGTTGTCGTTTTTTTGTTTGGTCATAAGGGTTAAAGTTGTAATTTCACTACTCCTGTGAGTTATTTTTGTCAAACATGCAATAGGGGGTCTAGTTTTGCATTTCAACTCAAGTTTTGAGTCATATTCAGCAATTTCCCCTAATAATAATATCTATTGTATTAAGCTTTCTGTTTTTTTATCATCTATGTATTTTTTATATTAATTTATGAATTATCTATCTACATATCCTTATTTTCAATTTTAGTCTTTCAAAACATACATTTATTTATTAATCATTTGAGTAATTTATATTTTTTTATGAAATTCGAATTATAACACTATATATATATATATATATATATTATTTTACTATATGAATGATGTGATGGTTTATTTTTCTACAAAAATAAAATATAAAATATAATATTTAAAGAACGAATTAATATGATATTTTTTTGGTAAGAAATAAAAAAAAAAGAGAATATCTTGATGAATCATCATCAATATAATTGATATAAACTAATGTATAACCAAATTAATGTGAGTGGCATAACATGTAATTAATCTAGTAACATAAATTTATTTTTATAATTTTGCTGAAAATAATTCTGGTGATCGACACATCAATCAAATAGCACCATTGTAATAATTTACAAAATTAAAGTTATTCATTAAAAATACTTCTGTTTTAATATATAGGGGATTATTTGTGCAGTGACAGCAATGAATAATTCACTTGTTCTTAAGGTCATCCGCCATTAATGTAGACATTCCCTTAGTACGTGAGTAGCGCAAACTTTCCCTCCACCCTCAAACTTCACTCGATTTCAAATTTGCTTTGCGACTTCATTTATTTATCGGCCCATTAGCCTAACTGTTCATATTCATTTTCAACAGAAACAAGAGAAATGGAGATTATGATTTATCGGTAGAATATTTATATCTTTCTTTCTCATAAACCCTAATTTCGTTCTTTCTTCCTCCCCAGTATTTTTATCTTTCGATCGGGCCGCGAGTGAATAATGGAACACTCACCGATTCTCGATCTGTGACTCACTGATCGATTCCTGAATCGCTTCGACACTTGCCGGTTCTGTTTCGAATTGTCATCACCACCGTATCTCCTTTACCTCCTCTAGAAGACCAGAGCGTCCTAATAGATCAACCATACATGCATTATTAATGCATAGTGCTCTTTCCTCGGCTCAAGATTCTTATCATTCGAACGAACCATGAGATTGAAATACCTTTTCCCTTCATTCACTAGTCCAGCATGGCTACAAGCAGAGAGGACCCCGGGATATGTCACGTAGTTCGGTCTTCGTCCCTCACTCTGCATCATACTGAACAATGCCAAGGCTTTTTTGCTTTCTCCATTCATTGCATATCCTACAATCATCGTGCTCCAAGAAACTACATTCCTCTGTTTCATGTCGTCGAACAATACCCTCGCATCTTCGGTGCTACCACACTTCAAGTACATATCAAGCCTCGCATTTTCAACGATTATGTTACAATCAATATCTTCTCTCCTCGCACGATCATAAATCTCTTTTCCAATCTCCAAAGAGCCAAGCTGACCACAAGCAGAGAGCATACTCACGACTGTAAAAGAATCAAACCGAACATCACCCGCACACAATTTGTGGTAATACTCAAGAGCTATAGCCGAGTTTCTCGTTTGAACGCAAGCTGCAATAAACGCATTCCAAGCCACTAAATCTTTGTCTTGCATAGACTCAAACAAGAACTCAGCCGAACTCAATTCACCAAAATTCATGTACATCATCACCAGCTCAGTTGCAACGATCCCAAGAGACTCAAAACCGTATTTCACCACATGGGCATGAGAGGTAAAGCCACAGGGCAAAACCCCAAGCTGAGAGATCGCCTTCGCCACAAACGGGTAAGTAAACTCATCAGGACGAACATCAAGACTACGCATTTTTTTATAAAGCATGACACTTTCAAAGGGGAACTGGTTTTCAACGTACCCTTTGAAAAGAGTGTTCCAAAGAAAAATCCTTGGCTTGTGCATTTCGTCGAACATCTGGCGTGCGTAACACATGTTGCCTACAACTATAAGTTTATCTAACAGTTGAGTTAAGAGGCTCTTCTTGACAGAGAGACCGGACGTTAGCACAAGCGCATGGATCTTCTTAAGCTGCTCCGGCTTTGAAGAGCTTGTTCGTAATAGCTTGGAGAGCATTTGTTTTGTAAATGGCGTTTGTTTCGCAAGGAAAATCCTCGGCTTGTGCATTCAAAAACTTGATAGCCATTTTAATGATTATGGGCCCAAAGATCTGATGACCCATAAGTCAAAATTCAACAAGAGAAGGCCCAATATTGATCAATTTCATATAAAATTCTTCCCGTCAACAGTTACATGGTGATTCGCGTAAAGTTTAATGATTAATATAAGCTAAACATACCAAACTATATAATTCATTTATAGTAATGTCAACATCGTTCTACTTCTAGACAGTGATATCAAATTAATCTTCTTTTTTCCCTCAGATGATGCTTGTTATTGGTTTTCTATCGATGGGACTGCAAAAGCATGAAAAACGTTCAATAATTCACTTGTTCAAAAAATCGAAGTTGCTGGAGTTTATTTCTCTCTAGTTTCTCTGAGTTCATTTATAATGGTTTAAGAACAATGACCGAAAAAGAAAGCCTCTGTAGAATCGGTGATGAAAACAAACAACAAAAGGTGAGATCGAAACGAAAAGAACAGCATATATATATACATATTCTTTTTTGAACTTCAAGGAAAACAGATATTGAAGAATATTACAATGCGTTTTAACCAAACAAAAGAAAAAGAAAAAACAACAAAGGATGACAAAGCGTAAATAAGATATTTTACCGGCGGAGATAGTACTCTTGAGACGACAAATATGGCAAAACGACTGAGGATGGCATATACTCTCTAAATTCTTTTAAACAAGATAGAGAACAGAATGTATTGTTTCTCTGTTTGAAAACTACTTTATCTTGACAACGATGCTCTTTACCATGGTAAAATGGCCGAGACATGGTCTTGTTGTGAAGAATAAGAACAATCTCCCTCGAAAAAAGCTTATACTGACCAGGTTTTATATAGGGATGTTCTCCAAGAAGACAATCAACATGAACAGTGGTGGAGCAGTAGTCATGGTAAGAATAGAACCCTCCTTTTCTTGAATATACTATGTTGCTTTCGCATATATCACACCAGCCCTGATCATCATTTCCCTCTTCCTTTTTCCGAAACATGAGGAAATGTTTGTCATGCTTATACCTTGTCTTGTATGGTAATGTAGCACATCTGAAACATATAATATAATTGTAATTGCACTCGATGCAAGTTAGTTTCCGCCCACAATTATATTTGTCACCCTCTTCTTGGCAGATTTGACATATTGCCGATTTTTCTTTTTCCGGCATTAAAGCTAAAAATAAGGGATGCTCATGAGTCATGGCCTTTATATTTAAATGGTTCAGAGACCGATGCACACTGTAAGTCTAATCTGAAATCCGTTTCTTGTTTAGGATCCTCATAGACGAAGCCACAACTTAGACAGTCACAAGCCCTACAGAAAAAGTAACCTAGGCCACCCCTAAGTTCAGTGTTGCGAGCCTTTAGTGTAAGTGAGTGAGCATGCAACGCATGTTGTTTCTTGCAAGGCGCATTGGCACACTTCGTAGAGGATGAAGTTGCATTGATCCATACACGAATAGTAGCTCCCCTCATAGATTGGAAGGATGCACGCTTGACAAAACGTTCCTTCATTGTAAGCTCCACTAACCTCTAGTTTCAGGTGATGGTCATGAGAAAAATAGAGTATTATTTCATCACTTATCTTCTCGAATGGCTCAACAACTATCTCAGGAGGTTCTTCAGGTATCCCCTCTAGTTCTTTCCCATCCCATAAGTCTGTTCGCAATGCATATTTTGTATGAACAAAATAATCATCACAGTTGTTGCAAGAGTATGCGCCATAATTGTGGTCGACTTTTCGACGACACACTCCGCAAGACCATATTCCCGATGTAAGAGAGGAGGTAAATGAGATACGGTGGTGGTGACGAGAGATTCTGATGACATACGGGTGATAGACACAATCTTTATGGACCACGAAGACACACCGAGCACAAACATATGTCGGAAAATGTTCTCTAATGAGGCCACAAACATCGCAAGCTAAGAAATTTTGTTTAGGAAAAAAAGTGAGATGGTGAAGATGTCTTTTTGGGTGGTTTATAATAATGGGTATTGGCTTCATTGCACAAACTGGATGCAAAATTAATTTGTTGGTAGGGCAATAATAAAGCTGTTCAAAGATGAGTATTTGACAACAGGAGCAAGGCCACATGCTGACCATGTCCTCGGAAGGTTGGTGAAGTCTGAGAGATAGAAACGGGGAAGAAGAGTGTTTGATCTCAAGTAGAGACTCTATGCATTCTTTGTGGAACATTGTGCTACACGTGGCACAGAAATAATAATCTGTGCCGAGCGTTGAGCTAGAGCATAGTCGGCAACGAAATTCGGGATCATCTGGCATAGGATCTTAATTGTTGCACCAAAAGAAAGGGAGGAGAGGGAACTTACAAGTATGATCATAGATGTTGGATCCAACCAAAAACCGGAATTGTTGATCACCGCTTGTTTTGTTAAAGAAGTATGGATAATGTAAGACATCCACCGGGACAAAGTTATTACCATCAGGATTATTCGGCATTAGGGAATGCCATTCTTCAGTGTTACGAAAAGAAGGACAGACGTAAAGAGGAGGGAAGTCGTCGGAGCTTGAGCTCTCCGTTTGCAATAAGAAGTTGAATATGTGAAATGGTTTTCCATTGATTTTTCCCTCACAAAATCCACCGACTGGAGTGATTGGCCCATAAGCGATTTGGTTGTGATATTCCTCTCCTATTTCTCCACCAGAATCAGAGGTTGGACTGTTTGTTTGAGATTTTCCATCGATTTCTTCCTCACGAAATCCACCGACAGGATTCATTGGTTGAGAAATGTTTGTGATGCGATCATTAACTCTCTTGCAGCTTACAACCACACAAGACACTTATCTCTCTTGCAACTTGCAACTCTCAACTCTCGAAGCCCCTTTTTTCACTTTTCTTTCTAGGGACGGGGTAAGAAAACTTCTACAATTGTGTAATTGTTAAAATATACAGAGGGAGAATGTTAAAAGAAGTGTCGAGTGTGAACTGTGACGAGGGCTTAAAACAAGTAGAGAGATTAATCTAAGCAAGATAATTATATATCTGAGGATTACTCTTGTCTCTCTCCAAGTATTCTCGATCGATCAAACTCTCTATTCTCTTCTTCAAATCAGCCTGTTTTATCGGGAATTTCAGCTGCAAACAAAATTATATACAAAACCAACCTGGTTTACCAAAACCGAGCAAAATCTACCTTTTTTTGCTATTAAGAAAAAGCGGATACACCATTGAAAGCTAAGAACCATAACTTATCCTAAACAAGAAGATTTAAGATGTGAGTATGACAAGTATGTTTACCTGTTGGAAGAGATCAGTGATTAGAAGAGTATGGCTTAAGACTTTTCTTGTCTTCATTATCCGGATAATGGCTGCATCAATCTGAGAAGAAAGTCGTTTGTCAAAATCTTCTCTTGTTTTTTAAGGAATGAATCCACCAAAAGGTTTATGAAGAAACAAACCTGGTATTGGCGGTCGTGGAATACTTTTTCGGTTGTACTTACGTTCTCCTCTACCGTTTCTTTCATCTGGATTGCGTTTACCTGCACCAAATATTTGATCAATTAACATGGAGAAGATTTCTACATCTCTGTCACGGCAACATGATAAGATTCAAAGAAAATATGAAGTGGGGGGCAGAAAATAAAAACCTACCTTAATGCGATACAGATGGGCTGTAAAGTCGTCATTGAAAACAAATTCATCACCATCCTCTACATCTTTTCCTTTTGGTACCTGCAAAGAACTTTAGGTAAGTTCTCTCTAGAGTTTCTGCATAAGTAGACAAGACAGGTCACAGAGTCTCTGTTTTTTTTTTTTTTTTTTTTTTTTTTGCTCGTTACCTTCAACAGAACACGAATTTTCCCACATGCAAGTGACTGCAAGGTCCTTCTCAGTTCCTTGTCTTCAATGTTTGTAGAATCTTTTATGTCTTCAAAGCTAAGTTTTTGTGCATCATTAAATAACATCAACACAACGGCCTGAAACAATCAAAAGAAAAGGCCCTCTTAAGCGATTGAATCACATTGCAACAACTCAAAACGAAAATAAAAGCAAAGAAAAGATATCATGTTACCTGAAAAAGCGAAACCGCGAGCTCCTTTCTACCTTTTCGGAACTCTGCCTTTAGAACACAGTGACCTGATGAGTTTTGCCACATTAACCTCCTACCACTGTACTTACTTAAATAGAACTCTTTGAATATATCCTGTGAAACACACACGCACACAGATTAACATAGAGAAAACCATCAAGGGTGTCAAGAAGGAAAACGTGTCGAAACTGCTGGAAAAACCTGATAAAGATTTAATTCACGCGGGAGTTTAGCATCCATTTGAGGATATGTTGGCCAGTACCTGCAGTATGATGACATTTGGGGTTTTAACAACGTTTGCAATGTTTATTCCTATTCGACTTTGGTAGAAACGTGATACACAATACATACCCTGTTGTTAAAACATGTACACTCATCTCAATTCCTGATGGCAGTTTTGTCCTGGCCTGCGACGATTGTTTGAATGACTCATTGATTTCCTTCGAGAGCTCGATGTCCTGGAAAGTTTAACAGAAAACACATGCTGGTTATGATTGTTGAACCTGTAGTTTGGGACATGATTATTGAAATCTCTTTTCTAACACTCTGATTACATTTTAATCGGTAAACAAAACACCTCAGACAAATCTTAAATTTAATAAATCTTAACTCGGAAATCAAAGGGGAGAAAGAAAAATGACCTTAAACATCCCCTCAAGCTTGTTAGTGAACTGGCTACCACACTCATTCTTAAGCTGCGGTTGCACCAAAAGGCGGGTCAGGGGATAAAAACTTTTTCTGTGAGAAAGAGAAAATGACCAAAAATGTAAGTTAGTTTTCTACCTTGGAGATCATAGATTTTTCAGCATCAATCGAAGCACTCTTTCCCAGTAAGAGTCTCTTCGCAAGATCCTTTTTGTAAAAAGCTTCAAACACATCTTTACTCTTTAACAGAGAAAATAATTTTCAAAAAAACATGATTTCTAGATGGTCGAATAGTTGGTTTTCGGACCAGGCAATGCCATGCAGCCACACATAAGTATTAGAAGTAAAAGTGGAGACAAACCTGGATAAATCTGAACAAAACCAAGACTTTTTCGAGGATACTCTCCAACTCCTCTTCAGAAGTACCCTTATTCCCAGCACGGAGCTTCTCATCCAAAAATTTGGCTATAAGCTCTGCAGGCCGGTTCTGCAAACAGTCCCGGAGCATCAGATGCGTTTACTCATTTGCTGACATGACAAACTTGAAGAAGAAACCTAATGTAAACTTATGTTGAGGATTTCACATTGGTTTTATGCAAAGTGATGTACACTTGTAGAAGCACAGCCGTAAATACAAAAGCAGCAACAAAATGAAATTGTGTTTCGAACTAATAACATGTAGCAAACATATGCATAGCCAGCACTTAAATCTCTGAATTGAAATAGATTCCTCACAATTCTGTACAGCATTGTAGTTGAGATTGGAATTTCTATACAAATGCATACTGTTTTTACATGGTGGTAGGTGTTTGATAGCAAGAGATTAAAACGATAATCAAGGAAATAGAACTCCAGTACCTGGCGAAGATTAATCAGATGCTCAAATGAATCTTTAATAGTGTTTCCAAACGATTCATTCTTGGAGAACCTATCTTCCCATATAGTGTCAAGAGAGATCTTAAAGTCCAATAACGATTGTACCATATCTTTTTCATCATCCATGACAATCCTCTGTCCAGTTTTCTTAACGTAGGAGCTCAGCGCCTGCCTCAGAAACTCAAGCGCATTAACCCTAGATAAGAGAGTGTACATCCTCTTAAGGTCCTCAGTACGACGACCATCCATTAATAATGTGAAACCCTGAATGTTTTTGAAAGATAAAATAGTTACCCATGATTTGCCAATAAACACATAAACACATAGATGACAGATTGACAGGAGAGTGAAACCTTATCAAGAATAGAGGATATGTGACACTCAAGAAGTTGCTTTTCAGTGGTTGCTATCAGAGGCTTCCTTGTCTCTGCTTCTAAGTACAGTATGCATCTTTCATTTTCTTCGTGCAACCTTCCCTGCAAAAAACACACCAGCAGATACGATTAATCTCAGGTCTACCAGAAGGAGAAAGAAACACTTTAAGGTTATATGAGGTAGGCACCTCAGCATGCTTTAAGTACTCAGGAACGTCAGACTGCTGCATGTATTTTATTCCTTCTGCTGCATAAAACTCCGATGTGCATTAAAGGAAACGTTTCTCGAAGCTTTCCATATATATTCCTAGTGCAGTAAACATCTTCAAAAGATGGTTCAATAGAGTCCTATTAACAGCTTCGCCTAGTCTGCAAGACAATTCACATGCCATGAAGAGTTGGTAAATTCAAATAACATATTTTACAATACTTATTACCAATACTTGGAAATCGCACCAAGAACGTCTAGAGAGCATCAAAACATTGCATGCTCATAAAAGATAAAGATCAGCCTACATGAATATCAATTCACAATGTCACAAAGGACCAAGCTTCTCCATTATCTTTATAAGACCAGTAGATTACCTTTCGTTTTCAATCATACTTAAGAGACCAGTAACAGTCCTTTGCTCAACTTCAGGGGCGAGGGAGAGATGCTTCCGGAAAAGCTGCAGACCCATCTCCCACAACGAACGTACATTTGGGTTGCGTCTCACGTATTTTCTGTCCAGAGACAAGGCTATACTACGAATCAATAGCATCTGGTCACAAAAGTCTTGCCAGCACTTCTCAATAAGCGACAGGAAAACAGAGTGATCAGTGTTTTGTCCAACTAAAGCTTGTAAAGCAGCAGAGATGTGTTCTTCACACTCCTTTTCAATTTGTTGGTAAAGTTTCTCTTCCATCAAATTTGATGAAAACATTAACACTTAGTGGCATCTAACTCAATTGTCAGACTCCTAAATTCTCAAAGATGAAGCTTTGAATTCTCTATCAACAACAAGTAATAATCCCTCAGAGCACACCTAAACCCTAAATCGGACAAGCCAAGCTAAAAACCAATGGTAATTCTTGTCCGAATCACAGTGGAGAAAAGAAAGCAGGTACCTTTGTTGAGCTTGATGACGAGCTTCTTAGTGGGTTGCGGAAGAGTAGCCTTTTTCCGTGAGAGATTCGCGGCGGCCGGAGTATGATCTTCTTCCATCGAGAAGCCTTCCTTGTCGTTGTCGTTGTCGTCGTCGTCGTCGTGAGACTGCGGCGTCTGTTGGAGGCCGTTTTTGGCTTTCTTCATCGGGGGGAAGGAGGAAGAGGAGGACGCGGCGGAGAAAGAGGTAGAGCGTTTGGTGGGAAGAGACATGAAAATGGTAAAAAAGGGGGAGATGGAATCAAGAAGAAGACATGATCAAATGGCTTAATCCTTTCCACGAAGCTCTCTCTTTCTCGCAATGCTTCTCTCAGACCTACGCCAAACTCACGAAAGAGAGAGAAGACGAAAAATTACTTCGTTTTTATAATTTAAAATTAAATATTTCATTTTTCTCGCAAAAAGTAAAAAAAAAAAAAAATCACTACAATTGTTTTCGAATGATTTTTTATAACAGAACAAAGAATTAGCTTCTATATAAAATTTTCAAGTATTCAAATTAGTACAAAGCAATATACATACTACATTTTTGCATGCTCTATAAAAACTGTAGTTGTTTTGATGTTAAAGACAGGAAAAATTACTTGTTTGGTGTAAGAGTTTCTATAATTTTACGCTACAATGTTATGACCATTGGTCACCAAGTAAATATAGTTTTTGTATGAACAATTACATGTAGTCTCCCATTACCTTTGTGAAAAAAGTAAAATATGAAGTAAACTAGATTACGTTAAAACATTCAAAAGATTTTAAAAAGGAACTAATAATTGTTTGGTTTGTAGTTTTACTTTCATGGATTGTGTCGATTGACTGAGAAATGAGCTCTGGTTCATTTCATCGATCGATTTAATTTGCGGTCGGTTTGGTTAACTAAAAGACAAACTGTGTATTTGGTTTGGGTCGAGACTGGTTCGGTTCAAAATGTCATATTTCAATACCATGAGATTCATCAAAGCCCAGTAACATATATATATATGTGCAAGGTTCAGACCCGAAAGTTTTAGACCCAAAATCATTTTTCTGACTTCGTCCCACTGATACGTTTTTTAAATGAGGTCGGAGGTGTCAAAATTTTCTTGGGTACATACATTTGCCGAATTTTATATTTACATCTTGTTGTATCGTAAATTCGATTTTTAATGATGCATATATCTAAGGTAGACTATAGAATAGTTTACTATTTTGTTGTAGGATTTTTTTATGCACTTATGTTACTATCCGAATTCTAATCTAATATAATGTCTATTGTTGACAGAAGAAAATTGATGGAAACAGAAATATATAGTGTAATGGGCTATCAGAATAATAAGCTAGCAATTTGACAAAGTAACTTTACCAAAATTTGTACTATTGCCAGTGCTTCCGCAATGGATTTTTTTCACCAAATTTTTTTACAACGCAAGCAGAAACAAGAAAAAAAACAATCACATCTTCAGTAATTTTAAAGAAAAACATTGATTATAGGGTCCCTTAATTATACGTTCAAAGAGCATGACACGAACATATTGGCGTTATTGTTTTGGTCGGTTTGACCCCATTTGAGAACTATGTTGTCGGTTCTCCCTATAACTTATGTTCAAATGGATTCTTTTTTACATTTACTTTAATTGCTTGTTTATATCACTAACCTCGTCGGCAAAAAAATTGTCTTACTTTAAGTTTTTGGCGGAAAGAAAAGTATTTCCTTTTTGGGGATCTCCTTTTCTGATTCTTGATGCGAATCGTCACATATATTATGTACAGATGCAAAAACGTGAATCCACACACACATACAATCCCCCTTTTACATGTCAAGCCATGTGCCAAAAAAAAGCGATTGAAATGTTTAGAAAATATATAATACTATTGTCTATTGGGTAAAAAAAAAAGAGAAAGATGGTTCTAAGAATTGACTAAAGAAGTATATGCACAACCCTATAAATATGAAGGCCAAACACTTATTACAGCTTATGAAATTACAGTGAAATGGAAATTACAGCCTATAAATATCGTATCTTGTTTCGATACTCTATTTTGTTAATCCTCATCAAATTCTGACTAAATTTTGTAATCAGACCAAAAGGTCAAACCATCTTCTGTAAATTAAAACTTCAATTATTGCAATACATTGGCTATCAAATAAACAAAAACTCTCGTTAGGTGTAATAAATTAGAGCTTTATGGTAAAATATATATATAAGAAGAGAAAAAACAATGCATGACAAGCCTACATGTTGGATTTATCATTTTGGAATCGTCTCCATATTTTGTCATTATGATAACAAGCGTGTAATATGTCATTTTCGATCAAACCATATACCGGTTCAACATTGTGATTTTTCAAATTGAATAAATATAAAACCTAGTTGTATCTACTTAGTTTTGTTTGCTACTAAATCATTTTTATATGTAAATGACTCCTATAACCCAATCGTTTGAATATAAATTTTTTGATAAAAGAATGTAAGTTTTGAAAGAATAGTACTATAGAACTAACTAAATCCTAGAAATTGTTGACATAAGACAAGACAAGTACACCAACGATAAGCTATTTCAAATTCAAAAATTGTCAATTTTAATATAATCCAGTCTTACGTGTCTTATCCATTAATGTCGCACCCAAACTTACATACTTTTTTATAAAATGTTCAGAAATTCTCGTTTTCTTGTCGTTATACCAAAAAAGGTGGAGGAAAAAGAGAAACATACACATAGATTAAGACCCTTTTTACGTATGCGCGTCATAAATGAAAAAACACTTTGAAAATAGTATGAAAAAAATAATTTAAATAAATAAAAAGAAAAAGCACACGTAAAAGCTTTTAGCCATGCATGCACGATGTTTACTGGTTATCTAGAAAGCAGTATCGTCGAAGGATAAGACCTTAACTTTCTCTCTCGCATCCTAAAGGCTTTTTTTCTTATGCATAAATCTTGTCTATTAATGCTTATCCATATCCACAAAAATTCAATTTTGTAGGCAGCTTTACAAAAAGGATTCCCCTAATGCTTAAACCATTTTGACTCAACTATATGTATTATATGTTTACTTTAACAAAACAAACAAAAAATGTATTAAGATGTTTTACGTAGAAATGGCCCACAATATCTGTTTTCAATATGACGTCAAATTTATCTTAATTTGTCTAGAGTATATAAAGCCAAAGTACAATAACATATTTCTGTTGTGTCAAAAACAAAAAAAAAAGTACTATATGTAAATATCTTGGCAATATGCAGTTATAGATTATATAGTTCAACAAAAAAAGACTATAGTTCACTTCACACATACACACACAATAAATTAAAAGTGTGACGCCATAAAAGAATGCATAGACACGTTAGACTCATATCTAATTATACATTTTCACTTTTGGTGCTTATTAATATAGACACGTTAGCTAGACACATTGTAACTAAAAGCATAAAAACATGTCGGTCCAGTCTAACCTAGAGCGATCAAGGCAGGTTTTATTGCTGATGGTTTGGTCAGATCCGTTTCATGATCATAAACAGTTGATAAATGTGCAAATGATTTTCTCTATTCAATAAACCATCAGACTATTACGTGACACGCACTAGAATATAATGGTGGCCATGTAAGAGACTTTCACTGCAATCTCCTCGTCCTGACACCTTCCAATGATATCTAGCTTCCTCCAACGAGCCTCCCCGCTATAACATTTCCCTGGTGATTCGGTTTAACGATATATTTACTATATCTTGTTTAACCAAGCACATGGTCCAAGTTGCGGATGAGAGCATGTATAGAGGATTAACTGATTTAGTCATTGACATTGTCGTTACAAAATCCTACTTTTGTAACGATACATTTTGTAATTAAGCATGCAAATTCCGGATAAAGCAAATCTTGTAAATACTCTACTTTTTTCATGCACTAAAAGGATTGGAAAATCTTTCCTTGCAGAAACGTCTTCCAAGCATTGTTTATAAACATTTTTGTCGCCATTTAGCTCTTAAAAACTTTCAGATCATTTTTTTTCTTCTCCGTTTCATCTAACTCGTCCTTGCTAAACAACATATTAGTTCGCATATTTTCTCAAAATGGCCGAGAAAAAAATAAAACTTTCTTCTTTAGTTTGTGGAACTGAAGTTAATTCAATTATTATAACCTTCTTAGATACTAACATCACATACATATACAAACTGATGTAAAAAGTATACATCATTTTTTTGTAACTGACAAATATAAACATCGATTATAACAATCAATGCAAAAAAAATTATATTTGTATCGGTTGATTGATAAGTAAAAAACTGAAATTACATATTTGCATCAATATTATCAAAATCATTTTTCTAAGTGATGTTGCACCATATCATAAGTAACCATATTATAATAATTAATGAAAATATATAAAATAAACGATACAAAACGACATTTTTGTAATGACTCATTTAGTAAACCAAAAAAATATTAAGGTTTGACGATATATTAAAAAGCTTTATGCCATTTACTAGCTAGATTAATAATATCATCATTAAACTTTACACAAGCAAAATTTAACACACTATTGAGAAAACAAAAAAAAACATAATTTAACACACTATGTTTTAGGCCGTGTAATGTTATAAACTTATAATTAATTACGTCATGCATCAAATCAATATATGGAAGTATGGAACTGCCAAGAGTCGACCGGTAGTCCATCCTCAACCGCAAAATCAACCTTTTAAACGTCGAACAAAAAGTTTTCAGCCAACCATAAACAGGCCAGTCTGGATAATTGACTGCTTTTGACTCAGTTTCACATATATCAACATCGAACGAAAAAGACTTATTTAATTACACACAAATTCAATCGGGCTTGAGATATAAATTTCTTATAAGCTGTAGACATGTGTTCAAAAGAAATGGCTCTTGGTGTCCTGAAGAAGAGAGAAGGTTAAATAATATAGAAAATAAAAGAAGGGACATTACGGTATTTGAGATTAGATCAATGCCGCCAAAAGTTTCACTATTATACTAATGTAATATTAGCTAGCCAACCTTTCGAGAAAACGAATTGACTATCGCCTACGTGATCAAATTTAACTTTTTTACTTTATTTCACCATTAAAAAATATAGTAAGTAGAAATTAAAAATTAACAAATCAATCCCCAACCAAACGTATGCACTTGCTCCAATTGTTTTATAGGTTTTATTATATCAAGTGATTTAAAAATTACCGATGGTTGAAATTGACCGACGCCCCCAAGTGTGTCACACTGCTCCGCCAACTTGTCTGATTCCCCTCGAAAGCAACTGAGCAACATTATCCTAAATTGACCCTTTTATATTAATTTTATTAACCTAATGCTTTTCGTTTTTTGTTTGTGCACCTACCTAATGCTTTTAG